CAACACACCTAACCCAAGTAAAGTTGACCTCGTAGATAATGCTAATTCTAAGTTCTAGTACAATGACTATTCGGCCAAAGACTTTATAGCATTACTGCATTTTCTTTTGACTTCCCTTTGTTGAATCTCTCTCTCTCTCTCTCTAGCTCTCTGAGCCATTTTACTCAAAAAAAAAAAAAAAAAAGAAAAAAAAGAAAAAAAGAAAAAAAGAAGAAGAGCAAGGATGAAAGTAAATGATATGACCATTATAGAATGTTCTCTCCTTTTATCCCACCAAACAAAGGATTCACCAGATTGTTATAATGTTCTACCATTCCACCTATTGTAACAGGAAACCTACTTCTCTATCAATAAAAGTAGAGGATATGCATGCTCGATCTCCTTGTAGATATATAATCGAAAAGTACAACGCATCTATAACTCCTTTTCTATTTTTTAATTAAAGTAAAAAAAAAAGCGACCTAATACTTTTAAATATTTTTAAAATTGAAGTATCACACATGTAGAATACCATTCTTATTAATTAATATTCCTTTTTAAAATAAAAAGGTCACCCAGGAAGCTTTTATCTTTTAACACTTAATCCACTACTTTCAGCAACCAAAAAAATATAATAATAAGAAATTAGAAATGTGTAGTAAATTTTTTTTTTTTTTTTTCTAAGAGTTTTATTATTATTATTATTATTTTTACACAAAACCATGTAACATCAATTTCCTTATACTTTGGTTATTGACAACAAATAGGTTACTTGGTTTGTAACTTTGAAAACAGTTATCTAAGAATTCAGAGAAAAAAAATTATTCTCAGATAATAATCTTTTATAATTTTTTAAAAACAGACATTTTTATAACTAAATTTTCATAAAATAGTTTTATAAAAACTGAACCAAGTAGAGAGTTTTGTACTGTTTTCAGTTTTTAGTTTTATGAGAATAGAAAACTGTTTTCATAATTACAAATCAAACAGGTCCAAAATTTTCTAGTCTCATAATTTCTAATTTCTTAAATTTACTGTTTATTACCATACACTTAATATGTTACAATATAATACGTGATAAAACTCCATGAGAAATTAACCAAAGTAGACTAAATTACATGAGAAATTAATCAAATTATCCTTTAACCATTTAGGAGATTTTTTAACTTTATCATTTAATAAATTAGACCAATCTACCCTCGTGAACAATTTATGCATCAAAAAAATAAGTAACCAAAAAAAAATTGTTATTTATTTTATAAATGACAACTTTTAAAAAAGGTAGACGATTTTTTGATCCAATATATATATATATATAAGGAAAATAAAAGGATGATGGGTTGTAAATTTGATAAAAACGGATAGCGGTAATGCAAGGGAGAGGCCGGTATTGTGAAGGTCACGCGTGAGGGGCAACTATTTCCTTGTCAAATTAAACATTGCGTGACTGACTAAAAGTCAACTTTTACGGTAAGGTTAAATCCTGACCGACGAATCATGCGGCTAAGATCTAGCCACGTCACCCGTCTATTCCAAGTTACAGTGATGATTTATGCCCCCGTCTCCACGGCCGCACGTCACACCTAACTAGCAAAAAGGATAAACAATTTAGCGAGTGTGCGGTCAAAATTGTTTTGATGAAAAAATAACTCTATAAATAAAAACAATTCTTAATAAATAATTAAATTTATGAATCTTTTATTAAGAATGAATAAAAAATATTCTTAATGAATAATTATATTTATGAATCTATATTTACGATCGTCACAAGCCAAAATATGAGTTGATTGACTTTGACTTATTTATTAAGAACAAAAAAATCAAATTCGAATTATTAACATATACTCACTCGCTGGTTTAGCGCGTGAACGTGTCCTGTAGATCCAAATTTAGAAAAAAAATAAATAAATAATAAGGCTTATCCTAACTGCTGAACACTATAATCTAATTGGGAGTTTCAAGGTGACGGTGGGCCATGTGAATAGGAGACTCCGAACCCTTGTTCAACCATGGACTTTTCCTACCCGACGACACGTGTCGGTGATGACGATGCTCTTCACCTACAACTCACCACAATCCCCCTGCGTCCTTCACTGTACGGCTAGATTCCGAATTCCTCCACCGCCTAATCCGGTATGCCCTTTTTACCCTTCCGTTTGTTTTTTTAACTAATTTCCAACAATAGCCCCTCATTTTTTTGTAAATTGACGGCACCATAACGTGGGTGGTTTGTTTGGGTGACCACTACCGGTGCCTGATTGATTAGGTCAGTCCAAATTATCATCGTCATTGGTCCTGCTGTCGTGCACATAGTCTATGTAAAGCCTCTTGGTGAGCTAATATCAATAAAAGTATGACTTAATAAAAATTTCGAAAACTCCATGTGCTCAACCATTAATTTTAAGATATTTTAAAGTTTCGTTTGTTTGAATGTAAAATAATTTTTTATTTTTTTAGTATTAAGTTATCGTAAAATATTTACGAAGAAAAATTATATTAAAATTTAATAAAAATAATTTATTCATAAATTTTATATAATTTATTTTATAGACTCGATCTCAACTTTGACATAGACCTTTGTAAGACACAGTCAAAATAAATAAATATATATATATATATATATATATATATATATTTTACCTGATAAAAAAAAAAATTCAAAAAAAAAATATTTTACCTAAAAACAAATGAAAACTAAGAGATTCACGACAAAATGTATATATACAAATAAAAAGTTAATTCTTCTAATTTTACTTAATATACCTAGTCCATTTGCTTTTTTAGTTTCTGATTATTCAACTAATTTAGGTGACAGATAGTGTTAGGTTGGGCGGGATGGTCCAGGAGCTTGACCTCCCAACTTGCTCTAAAGTTGACAGTGACAACTTTTTCTCCATCGTTTCTTAAAGAAAAATACCTCCAAGTTTTATAAATTTTAGGATTAATTTCATCCCTATCCCTTTAATTTTGATCAAATATCATATTAAAGTATCTTTAAAAAATTACCATCATTCAACTCTAATTTTACTCTTTACGTTAAAAAATGCAAAATGTCATATGCCTGTGTGTGTGTGTATATATATATACACACCTTCATTTTTAGTGTATTTTAATCCAAAATATCATAAATTTAAAATATAAAAAATACCCCTAACAAAATCTCTCTCTCTCTCTCTCCAAACCCTACTATTCTCTCTTGTGTTGCCTCCATCGTAAATATATCAATGTGTTAGTTTGTGTTTGTGCTCAAACTCAATAAATCAATTCAATATTCATGGGATGTCCTATTAATTGAGGATTACTGAATCCACATGTATTGAAACAAATATGATGGAACTGGTGGCTAAATATATTCAACTCTATAATTTGCATTTATTTGAAAATCTGGGCAATTATATTATGACAAATATTGTTTTTCTTATTGATCCTAAATCAATTATTTTGACAATTACACTGCGAGAAGATGTTGGAGTCATTCAAACTCAGAGTTCCTTAAATCACTTTGTTTAATATAAAGTTGGAAGTTTACAAAATTTTATTTACTTCCTTTTTATTGCAGGTGCATGAAGTTGATGATAAATCTATAAAAAAAATTCAATTAATTTGCTTGTCAAGTAAATAGTTCTCTGTAGTTTATTTGTCAGATTGATTTTTTTTTTCTTCTTCATGTATTCAACTTCTTTTCATGTAATTTGTTGTCTCGTGACTATTTATTCCATGTTCTCAATTACCAAGTGGTCGATGAATGTACTAACAAAGGTAGCAACTCGCAAGTACCCAAAGTTTGATCTTCCACATTATTTTTCTCAAATTTTAAACTGTTAGTGAATTGATTTTGCCATTATTTGATATAATAACAATGGAAGTGAGAGAATGAGAAAGAGGGGTACAAATGTCGTTTTACATACCAGACAACTTTTTAGTGAGACAAGTAAAAGTTAAAGTGGGTAATAATGTATTTTTACAAGTAAAAAGTGGTACAACACAATTAAAAAATAATTTTTGAAGTGTAAGTGAAAAACAGATCAAACTTTTGTAACTTGAGTGATAGTAATTTTTAGAAGGAATTTTAATATAATATTTGGCAAAACCTGAAAGAATATCAATGAAATTAACCCTAAATTTTATTTAGCATCAATAAATTTTACTTTTGAAAATTTATTCCTCTAAATCACTAAAATTTTTATTTATACCTTTATTAATAATAAGCATAAACAAAATTTTGTAATTATATATTTATTCAAAAATTGATATATAGTCTAAAGTTATGTATATTGCATTATGAGTTTTAATAATAGTTAGTTTAATATAAATTCGATTCAAAATTGTGTGTCGAATTCAGGAAAGCTTTAATACACAACAAATCAAATACTCCGTATTCTATAAATAAAAAAAATTAATAAAATATTAGCTTTAATACACAACAAATTACTCGTGGAGTGAACAAAACCTCAAATTGTAATCTGATTCCTTCCGTGATGGCACATTCAACAATTAATTGAATCACATTAATTAGTGGACTTTGACTAGACCATGCTGCCTTAGATGGTATGAAATTCATTCTTGGAATTAGGATCCAAGTTTGAACTAAACGACTAACATTAATGAATTTCATTTAATAAGATTCTTTAATATATATATATATATATATATCCAAATGAAATCTTGGGAATGGGTTATTTTCCAAAACAATTTTTTTATTATGATTATTTTTTAAAATTATTTTTATTCATTTATTTTTTTAATGTTAGGGTTACTATGGTAGCAGGAGAAATTTTACTACAACTTGATAACTGGCACGGCAGTTAACCGGTTAACGGATCCAAGAACACGGAAGTCCTGACTAGATTCTTTCCACATGTAAATCAATTACCTACCCTCTCCGAACAACCCCGCTTTTAAATTTATTATTTTTCATTAATATTTAATAAATATATACTTAGTAAATCGTACAATAATTTTGAATTGTTTTATATGATCACCACAAAAACCGCACTATATAAGGAACTCCATTACCCCTCTCAGTTATGGTCTCTTCATTCAACCAAATATACAGAGAGAGAGAGAGAGAGAGAGTAATCTGTAGTCTTCCATTTCTCTGTGTTGTGTTTGAGATATGTCTCTGCTTCAAGATCTCCTCAACCTCGACCTCTCCGATGTCACCGACAAGGTGATTGCTGAATACATATGGTGAGTCCCTCTCTCTCTTTCTTTGTTTTGCTCTGTTTTGACTTTCATCTTAATGGGTTTGCTTTCTTTTTACTAGTTGATTTGGCGTTTGTTTCTTAGGTCAACTGCTTTTGTTGTATGTGCAGTGATCTGAGTTTTTGCAGTTTAGATAGTCAATGGTCTGCTTTGTTTTTGTTTTTTTGGTCTTCCTGGTGAGAGATCATTAATGGGTTTATGAGATCTCGATTTTTTTTGGACCTTTCACGTTTATATTTTCATGTTTTATAGTAATCTGTACTCCGATACTCTGATTCCATACAGTTCACCTCATGTGTACCATATATGTGTGTATTTTTGGATTTTTTCCTTTATGATCCACCAGACTTCTTGCCATATCTCATATGGTATCCACCATTGTAAGTCTCCTTTTTTTTTTTTTTTTCCCTTCTGATTTCTCCTACTTATGGTCAACGAGTAATTCACAATATCTTAGTGTTAATTATATATATATATATATATATATATATATATATATATATATATATATTTATTTATATGTAATTCACGATGTGGTTGGTTTTAATTGTTATTGGAGTTCATTGGTTTATGAGATCTTGATTTTGTTTTAACCTTTTTTGGACCTTTCAAGTTTGCATCTTCATTTTCATTCTCCTTTTTGTTATTTTTTATTTGTTATATTTTCATTCGGTTTTATTAGTCAATGGGTAATACTTTTTTTTTTTTTTTTTCCTTCTTTTGTTTGATTCTCTCCTTTGTGCCCACTCAATTTGTTTGCAAGATCTCAAACCGGCGTTCCATTGTTACTTTTTCTCATCTTTATGGTCAATCAGAGTTTTACAATATTCTGATTTTTTATTGTACTTTTTGTTTGCCTTTCCCCTGATTTACCAAATGGTTCTAAGACATTACGTTTCGCAAATTATGTTTATTATTTTTGGATTGAATTTAAATGGTTAGTTGATTTTGAATTCCCTGTTCTTGTTACTGTGTGGAACTCCAATTTGTTAGGGCCCTTATGGGCATAGTTGTATCATTAATGGGTTGTTTTTGTTCTAGTATTTTTTAGTTCTGATTTTAATTTTTAAACCCTTCAACAGGATTGGCGGTTCAGGCATGGATCTCAGAAGCAAAGCTAGGGTAATATTTTTATTAAGCTTAGTGATTTTTGTTATTAGGTTACTGTTCATTTTATTGGTTTGTATGATGATTTGTGATTTATGTGGTTCTCGGTGTTATGCAGACTCTTTCAGGACCTGTTTCCGATCCCAAAGAGCTCCCAAAGTGGAACTACGATGGATCTAGCACGGGCCAAGCCCCAGGGGAAGATAGTGAAGTGATTATCTAGTATGTTATCTTCTGCGGTCTTTTTTTCCCCCTTTTTTCTTACAATTGAACAATCGGCTCTTATATGTCTTGTTATGTTTATAATTTTTATATATCTCTTTTTTGTGCTTTTTAAGCTCTTTTATAAATCTTTAATGTTTGTTCTTTATGCATTGGTGATGAAACAAAATAGTCCCCAAGCAATTTTCAAGGATCCATTCAGGAGGGGCAATAATATTCTAGTGAGTTAAACATCTATTTGCGTTAATTTCTTTGAATTCTTGTCCAATTCTTTAGTTATGTTTTAATTCTTTTGCTGAACATACATTCTCTTTCTTAACTGCTTTAGGTCATGTGTGATGCTTATACTCCTGCTGGTGAGCCAATTCCAACAAACAAGAGGCATAATGCAGCAAAGATTTTCAGTCATCCCGACGTGGTTGCTGAAGAACCCTGGTATAAATTATTTTTAAATCTTCTTTTAAAACTTTATTCTCATTTCTATATGAGTATGTGCTGGGTAAGTTCTTGGGAGTGTAATTCACTTCAAATTTGATCTTTAAAATAGGTATGGCATTGAGCAGGAGTACACGTTGTTGCAGAAAAATGTTAAGTGGCCCATTGGTTGGCCAGTGGGAGGTTTTCCTGGACCCCAGGTAACGTAACACACTAAAGTCACATTATTTTATAATCGTCATTTGAATCACTCAAGTCTTTCATGTTTTTGAAGACTGTTTATTCACCCTATAGGGTCATTTTTTTCTTTAATTATTTATTTTTATTGTATTTTTTTTTTTTTCATCTGGTATAGTGTTTTGTAAGTTTCTGAGTTGGAACATGCTTGACAACCACTTGTTGGTATTGATTAGGAGGAAAATGCATAATGTCATTTTGCTTATGTTTTCTTTTCTTGTAGTTCCCTCCCTCCCTCCCTCTCTCTCCTCCCTTGTAACATTTTATATATTTTTAAGGAATGAATAAAGAAGGTTTACTAATGCAGCCAGCTTCTTTTTAATATATAATATATATTGTTTTATTCAACAAATAATACCAAGTTATAGAGATCTTGAGTAATTGAGAAATGACTCTGCTTTTTATATATATGTGCATTGGTTCACCAAACATTAAATCAGTAACTTCAATTAAAATTCCAAGTTTCATTCCAAAAAGGCGCTCTTAATTAACTGTTTACCTGATAATTCTTTTATACTACTAGTGTTTCTATTTTATGTTATGTGAATATTATGTTTTTTCTTGTGTAAATATTGTCACTATTAAGTGTTTGTGCATGTCCTTTTTATTGCGGCATAGGGACCATACTACTGCGGGATTGGTGGTGACAAAGCCTTTGGACGTGATATTGTTGACTCTCATTACAAGGCCTGCCTTTATGCTGGTATTAACATAAGTGGCATCAATGGAGAAGTCATGCCAGGCCAGGTCAGTAAACATTTTGAGTCGTCTCTTTTAATATGAATTGGCCTTTTGCCATTAGTGGATTATTGTGGAACTTGACTCTTTCTTCGTATTATACAGTGGGAGTTTCAAGTTGGACCTTCTGTTGGCATCTTAGCTGGAGACGAGTTGTGGGTGGCTCGTTACATTCTGGAGGTATTGTATAAAATCCTTACTAATGTTCTTTGTGAAAAATAGACACTGCCTATTATCTGGGATTGAGTCATGTGCTAATAAACTATTTAATGGTTTCTATTGACAGAGGATTACTGAGATTGCTGATGTGGTGCTTTCTTTTGACCCCAAACCTATTCAGGTTAGTTTGTTAGAGTTATTTTTATTTTACATTATTTCAATGTTCTTAATTCCCAAGCAGCGTTATTTTCTTTGTTAAATTGCTAAAACTGATTGAAGCCATATGGGATCTGATTTTAATTCTTGGTTACATAAATTAATTCCCAATGAACTTTAATATCTCTGATTATCATACTAATTTTAGTCATCACCGAATCCTGTTTCACCTGCAGGGTGATTGGAACGGAGCTGGTGCTCACACAAACTACAGGTATTATACGAGCTTGTACCTGGCTGAGGCATTCATATCCTTTTTTTTCCCCCTATCCTTTTTTTTTCCTCCTGACAGTGAGGTTATGATGTTGCAGCACCAAGTCTATGAGGAATGATGGTGGTTATGAAGTCATCAAAAAGGCTATTGAGAAACTTGGTCTGAGGCACAAAGAACATATCGCAGCTTATGGTGAAGGAAACGAACGACGTCTCACTGGAAGACATGAAACAGCTGATATCAACACATTTTTATGGGTAAAGAAATTTTTCTTTATAAATAGTGCAAATATCTTTTAATTTTTAATCGTTGCAAACTTAAGTTGTATCACTTGGAAAAACATTAAACACAACATACTTATTGACAACAAGGGAAAATTCCTTTAAATGAGCTGTTTGAGGGGAATTTTTTTTTCATTGGATTAGTCCATTTTCAATGGTGCAATAAAAAAATTATTCTGAGCCTAGATTGGAGGATAGATTAGCTGTGATCATAATTGTGGTCTCTTATTCGTAATTGGTCTCTAGCTTAATAGTGAACAAATCACACTCATTTGTGCACCCTATGTTGTCAACAGGGGGTTGCAAACCGTGGTGCATCAATTCGTGTTGGCCGAGACACAGAAAAACAGGGCAAAGGGTATTTTGAGGATCGGAGGCCTGCTTCGAATATGGATCCATATGTTGTCACTTCCATGGTTGCAGAGACCACCCTTCTGTGGAAACCATGATTCTGCTGTCATCTACACGCAACCTTGAGACCGCCGCTGTTTCTGGTGACGTTTCATCGTCAGAGTAGTTGAATTGTATCACAGCACAACCCATTTAAGTAGCCTGTTTTATTTTCTACCCGGTGTTTCGCTGTTTATCTTTCTTTGTATTTCAAGTCTTATGGCGAGCTTCCTTGCCTTGTGAGTGGTCCTGACGATGAATAACAGCACATTTACATTGATAACATATTGAAATTAGGGCTGCTTTTTATTGTGTTTATGGGGTGAAAATATTATCATTTCCTGTGTATGTCCTCTTTTTTTATTTTTTATTTTTGTATTTATGCTGAAAATATATCAGATTTGGCTGCTTTCTCTGAAAAGGTCCAATCTCATCCTATGGCATAATGAACTTGGAATCTAAAAGTCACAGGACAAATCCCAGACTTTCGAGTTATTTCCGTTTCAACAATTACAAAGTTTTTTTTTCTTTTTTTTTAAAAAAAAAAAAACTGGAAAGCATCGAAACAGAAGCGTTTGTCAGAAAGTCATTTTCTACAAATCCGGAGCTTTTGCAACTTTGCAAACCAAGATTTTGACAGTATGGGATGTGTACTATGTCACGAGTGTACATTTCATTTGTTCTTTGAAGGCAAAATTAGTTTTGTTGAGAAAACTAGTAACAAGTTACTTGCTGGAAACAAGTTGCTTAATGATTTATCGTAAAATTTAGAACCATCAATCCACACATTATTATTATTATTTGTATATGTCTTGCTAATGTGATTTATAATATATGTTTCTGATGCCAGACAGATGTGCTAGACCTATACCAAAGATTGTGTGTGTTAGGTAAATAAAAAATGTAGATACGTGTGTTAGCTACCGTTGGTCGTTGGGTGTCTTTAGCAATGTAGATACGTGTGTTAGCTACCGTTGGTTGTTGGCTATATTTATGTACTTTGTATATAAATATTTTATATAGGAAGTTCTAAATTAATTTTTTTATAAAGTTGAATGGTATTTGTGGTGGTTGAGAGGGTCTTTTTATAAAGTTGAATGGTATTTGTGGTGGTTGAGAGGGTCCATCTGAATTTTCTAAAGATGATAAAAGAGAGGGAGGGAGCATATTTTATTTTATTTTTATTTTTAACAAAGTTGAATGGTATTTCTGGTGGTCGAGATGATTCATCTTATTTTTCAGAGTAATTTGATTTTTCTAAATACCAAAGCTGTAGTTGTGTAGTACAGTATAACTTTTAGTCCCAAGACAAATGAGTGTCTGATTTTTTTATCAATGAAAAAAAAAAAATCGATTTTTTCAAATAAAAATAACAAATTAATAAATCCATACGTTTGTTATTGAAAAATGAGAGAAGAAAATAATTAGAAAATTATGATTGTGAACTTATCAAAAGCACCTCATGACTATATATATATATATTCTTTAATATTTTGCCTTTCCTTCTAAAGCTATTAAATGGGCTTGATTGCCCTGTAATAAGTTTTAAATTTTATAGTTAATATATAAAAATTCTTATAAAAAAAATAGTTAATATATAAAAATTGAAAACTTTTATAAAAATTCTACATTTTTTTAGGGTTAGTTTCTTCTTCTGCTTCTTCTTTTCTTTCTAGAAAATGTAATTTATAAAAAGACACATTATGGTATTCAACTATTCATTAATATATTTCATACTAAAAATAAGGTAAAATGACTCGCCATATTGCGAAATTAACATATGACATGCCCGCTAGTTTATTAAAAATATCTAAAATATATTAATCGAGTTATCATTTATCAATATAATAATTGATTTTTTTTTTTTTTTAATTCTTTGATTTCTTATAATACTTTTCCACGATGAATTCTGAACATAATTTTCTTATAATGCTTTTCTTAATTCTGTGGTCTCTTTATAATGCTTTGCAGCTTGCAACATTTTCTTTCTTCCAAGGTCTAACCAAACAAAATTACTCCTTATTAAAGAAATGAAAGTGCATAAACAAATTTTCTGCTAATGTTTCACGTGCCTTGCACGTGTTCTTCGGATGGTACTGCAGAAAGATCACCGTGAAGCACAATTTCCTGTGTGGGGTTTAGGGTTTAGAAAGTTGAAGAAAACCAAAGAAATACAAACATCACCACTCTCTCTCTCGCTCTATATGTCATATATATACATATCTGACATACGGCAATGTCTTTCCGACGAGCGGCGGCTGGTTTGCTGAGGAGACTCCGTTTTGAATCTCAAACTGTCACTGCTACTTCTTACGGAAGAACACCCAATGCAGGTAATCCCATGATTGAATTGCACAGTTTTGCCGTGTAAATATTATATATTATATACATATCATGTATGCGTATTTGATCTCATGCAATTTTAATTTGCTTTGACTTGTTGGTTTAATGAGTTTTGAATGGGCAAACATTGTATACTTCAATACTGTTCGTATCAAGAATCTGTTACATTCCATGTTTACGTGGATTAGGTTACGGATAGACGCTGAGAATGGCTGGAAATGAGTCAATTTAGCATCTTGATTCTTGGGCAACATTTGAATGTATAAAATTTAGTCAGAGTTTACAGTATGTAGAAATTTGTATCCTCCAATCTCATATATACAACAAATTATAAAAAATGAACGGGTAACTACTAAGTTGGAATACTTATGTTGATAGATTTTCTCTCGGCTGGTTTACATATATTGTATATATTTATCTATAAATGTACTTATGTATATATGCCCGTGTATATGAAACTCAATGTTTTCATAATTCTGGTGGTTTACAACTGTTGTAATACATTTTGGTTACATTTATTGTAAAAACAACAGTTTGAACTACTCAAAGTCTGGTAATGTCCCGGGAGGTCGTCTGACACCGAATATGTACGTTCCGATATCGATTTTCACATGCAGAATAATTCATTCTTTTTTTGGAAGTAAGATTAATTAAAAAGCCCTCAAAAGGGGAGCACATACCATATACAAGGCCAAGAAGAACAAAATATCTACTATATCCTCAATCTATCCACAAAATGCATGAAATTCACCACAGATTTACAAGTAAACCATATAACTATAAGAATAAAGAACTAAGTACAGAGAATTTAAGCACCCAAATAGGAGTCTCCTCCCCTAAAAGGATTCCTTATTCCTCTCTCCATAAACCCCACTACAACTTATCAGATCCTTTTTTTTTACCTTTGTGTTTATCTAAACATGAAAAATCCCATCAAAATACATGCTGTCCTCCTTGGTAGAATGATGCTAATCAAAGGCATAGGAATTGTGATTTATAGTTTTACAAATAGACTGGTAAAATATAGCGTATTTAATAAAGATTGCAGTTCAAAATGCTGGATTTCCTTCTTTTTATTTTTTACATAAATTGTTTTTTTTCTTCTCAAATTTCAAAAATAATTTAAAGTTGTATTGACTATCGAGAAAGAAATTATGACAGATTATGATTATTATCTTATATTATATTTTGCAAGTATGCCTAACTGATAATTTAAGAGGACCAAAGCATATAAGAAGCAAGGAATGCGAGGCCGTCTAAAATTTAACAAGCACACCACTGTGTTTGTAAGGGGGCTTCACAGCATCTGGTCCCAAAGTAGTGATTTGAATATTCAAGAACTTGCGTCTCTTCCAAAAAGACAGAGGCAGTAGGGTGGAGGTGCGAAGCTTAATTTTCAGTCGAAGTTTTGACGACCCACGTATGTTAAGTCTTCTTGTAGAGTAAACATCGGATGTCCACTATCAATATCTAGTTTAGGATTATTGACCAACAAAAGTAGCAATTCGTCGCTTATCTAGATATTTCAAAATGGGATAAATGGATAATCACATTGATGAAATAGTTTCAAATAACACAATTATACTACAAACTATATTTTTTCACCTTGTTACCTCCTCCTCTGAAGATCCACTCCATCATAAAGCTCTTCCGGCATAGATTCTATGGTTAGTCCAGATTTATTTAGAAGTAAAAGAGAAATTACTTTCTCATTATTTGATTGGGAAGTAGTTTCTCTCCTGTAAACATTAGGATACTCAGCCCTAAAAGAAGCTTTTGGCGCACCTGATGCTTCATCACTCACTGACACTGTATGCTGATTCATAGGATAGGCAGTCTCGCTTCAAACCACAATTTTGATATTTTTAAAAGAAAGCACATTTCTGGGGGAAAAGCTATTTGAAAGGTCGATTTGTATGGTACAAGTATCACAAGATGAACACTAACCACATTCTTTTCTAGTCATCCCCTATGTTGCTACTGTCACCCTTTTCATACTGTATCTAGCCTTCTATCCAGTTCTCCAATGACACTGTCTAATAGGTCTTTGTTCATTGTTCATGGTTGTTATGTGGTAAATTTCTAAACAACACCCCTAAGATAAATGTATCTTGTTTCACCGTACTAAATGATACTTGAACTTTCCACCTCTCTCTACTTACAAAGAAGTTCTTGGCCATTCTTGCTCATGTGATGTGCTGAATAGAGCCATCCAGGTTTCATATATATATCTATATCTATATATATATAATTTTCAGCCATTCTTCTCTCATTAGACTTGTAAACCATATGCTCTTTTTCCTTCTCTCTTCCAGCTTATTTTCTTTACTCTTAAAAGTTATTTTGTTCCATTGATTTCTTTTGCTTATTACGACTGTTCTTTTATTTCATCTTCCTTATGAATTCTCTCTGTCTGTCTGTCTGTCTGTCTATCTCTCTCTCTCTCTCTCTCTCTCTCTCTCTCTCTCCATATATATATATATATATATATATATTCTGGATAGGTAAATACACTCACGCATGTTCCCCCAGTGGGGCTTTAACCATTAACCTCCCCTTTGGGGAGGTGGAGGACATAAGTACATTCAATCTCCCTTGGATATCTTTTCTGGTGATTGTTCCATTCTCTCTCTCTGTGTTTGGTTCTTCTCATTGCTTTGTGGAATGATATAAAAATTAGGTTGCCTCGTGTGAGTATAATATCAGCCACTATTGACATTCATTACACCTCTCTTATCCAATGTTGGTAATGGTCCTTTTTTTTTTTGGTTAGGTAATGGCCTTTTTTTTTACTAGGAAAAAGAATAATGCATCTATACCTAAAAAACTGGGCAAACAATTGTTTACAAGTCAGATATACAAAAAGGGTCAGCCATGAAAGTGTGCGATAGACTTCTCTTTGGGGTTCCTTAGTACTGCAATTATCTTACTAATCTTTCTTCATCTGCAGGACCTTTTGAGTAATAAAGACCTCGATCATTTGATGCAGTAATGATCATCACTATAATTTCGTTTTGCCCCTGAAAAGTGGTCATACTATTCTTAAAGTTGGAAGACTATTTACGTCATTTAGTTCTACTAGTTATGCACTTATGACGTGTACGCCGACATCCCTTTTGTTGACATGTATATTGGTCTTTTCTGGCTGTAATTTTGCATAGATGTCATTAAAATTTGATTAAAGATGCTACTGTGATCATCCATTTCGTTTCAATATCTATGTCTACTGCTGTTTTAAGCAGCAGTTGTTTTATCATGTGCTCATTTAGTGTTGTTTCCAGGTAAATTGAAAATTTCCTGCCATTATCATTCTGGACAATATACTAGGACGAGGCAACGTGTGGACCTTTGTCTGAAGATTTTTCTTTCTGGGCAAGCTGGTATACATTGTTGACTAAGAAGGCTAATTTTGGATTTCTCTTTTTATTTTGGCTGTGCATACTATTCCAGTTTTCTAGCACTTATTATTAGTGCAAAATTACTTCTGAATTATTACTACGTATTAAGTCTGTTTTCAAGTGTTCATTGGTACAGAAATATACAACTTCTACAACTACAAGAAAACTAATATGTTTTCTTTTTCCTCCTTTTTCTGGTAAAGAAGAACCTAGTTATATTATGTGGAAGTCATAGCATAGGATGGGTTATTGGAGTCCTATAAGTATTATGTTTACCAGAATATTTGGCAGTATCTCCAATTATTTATTTATTCTATATTTTGAATAGAAACTATAATTTGATTGATAAGCATTCATGAGGTTGGAAGGGAGAAGCTAATTAGAAAATTTTGGACGTTCTAAAGTTGAGAAGATTATTGGCAAAGAGTTGGATTACATTGTCGAATAAAGGAGACAAGAGCACCAGTTTTTTCTTTTTCATTGACCAACTGGCCATTACAAAATAGTTTGACTATAAGGGGATGGTTTCCATCTCAAAGATAATTTCTCCACACCTGTCCCCAATATTCCAGCTTGTTTACAAAACTTCATAATGGCAACAACTTGAATTGGCCCTCCGTCTGTCTTGTCATATCAGTAAAAATGCCTTCCAAATTAGCAAGCCGATCTGAACTCTGAAGGAACCCGCAGATTAATGTTTATAGTAAATATTGAGACTTCAACAAGCACTTTCTTAGGAATATTGGGAGAGGAGGTGGTAAAAACCTCTTTGTGGAATGTCCACGCTATATGTTCACCTTCATTATTTGAGGCTTTAGATAAATTTTCATGAAAATTGCTTTGTTGTTGTGTGGGTATATGACCCTCATAACTTTCATAGCTTCTAATAAGATAACAATCTCTTGAGGTAAGAGTTGCAGTCTAGTGGTATCTCTTCTATCTCCCAAAGTGGAAGGTAGAGGTCAGAGTGGGTGTGTAATATTTCTTAGGAGCCCCCAAAAAAAGTCATCCCTTAAGGTTGAGGTACTGTGAAATGGATTATTATCAGCTCATCCTAGTCTCAATTTATGGATGTACATTTGTGCTTGATTAATGATATTATTATTGGATTTTTGTCATAAACACATGTACTATCTGATGATATTCACAAAGTGGACTCAAGAGCCTCCAGCAATCTCTGTGGGGCTCCGTCCTGTTGACTAGACATTTATATTGCAAGAACCTTCTTTCCTACAAGTAAATCTTGTTGCTGCCATATTAGGAATTTAGGAGTTTAGGACTTGTAGCTTGGGTTGTGTGGTTAGTCCATTCACAAGACTTATAACTTAGGGCTGTGCATTTTTGTTCATTCTCGAGTATCTATAGGCTATAGCCTGAGATTGTGTGGCTATTGTCAATTAACGAGTATTTCTAATTCAGGACTGTGCAGTTATTATCCATTCTTGAGTACTTTTACCTTGGAGTTGTGTGGCTATTGTCCGTTGACTCCATCCATAAGGGCTCAACCATGGATTGGGGCTATATTGTCCATTCTTGAGGAATTCCTCTCTATGGATGAGCCTTGAAGGAGACACTGAATACCGTTGAGGAAGGTGCCTCTAGAATATGTCAGCTCAGTTGGGAGCAGTTCTCTTTAAGCACATATTAATTCAATATGTAAAATAGCTTTTGTTTAACCATATAATAATAATCATTTCTGCAGCGCTCATTCTTGGGATAAATGCCTGCCCTGTCTTGGCAGAAGATGCTTCAATTGAATTAAGTTCTGAAAATGATTCAAGTGGGGCCAGCATGACTGGCTTACGCAGAATCGAGGATGGTTCCGTGATATCAAATATACATACGTCAAAGTGGAGGGTTTTCACGGATACTGGAAGGGATTTATTCTTGCAGGCAAGCTTTTTGTTCTCTTATTGTTGATTGATTTCTATATATTTTTTTATCTGCTATTGTGCATATTCTTAGTTTCATAAACTCCTGAATTTTCATTTGCGATTCCATTTCTTCTAGGGGAAGCTGGAGGAAGCTGAAAAATTATTCCTGTCCGCTTTACAAGAAGCTAAAGAAGGTTTTGGAGAAAGGGATCCACATGTTGCATCAGCATGCAACAATCTGGTGGGTACAGTGATGCTTTAAAAATAGTTTCATAAAGTTTCTCAATGTAGTTGCCAAATTCTTAAATATTTCTCCGGTAAACGTAATACGACTCTTTGGGATTGCACTTGGGAAATATAAAACCTTTCAAACAATGTCCTCTATGGCAATTTGTTTGGTACGTTTAAGGTTAAGCTAAACACATTTGTTGAAAGGGTGGAATGTTAGCTTATGCATTATATAGATTTGATAAGTAGCCTATGATATGTTAATATAAAATGCAGTTATATTTGCTAAGGATCTTTTAAATGATGTGAAATTTAATTTTTTTTTTCTTCATTTTTTTTGTCAATATGCTTTTGTTTACTTGAGTTTCTCTCCTCTCTCTCTCTCTCTCTATACATACATACATACATACATACATATAATATATATATGAAAAGTTGGGGTTAGAATTATTTTACTTAATCTGATTGTTTTGATTCAAAACCAAACCGGCCCCCCCCTCCCCCTCTCTCTCCCCCTCTCCCATATCTTATGGGAAATGTGCTATAATCTTTTTTGAGGATAACCCCCTTTTTAGCTATTTAGTTTATTGTCTTGTTTCAACTAAATGATAGAAAGATCTACTTGAGTGCTGAAAGAAATCAAAGTTCAACTCCTGCATCATTTGCTTGGGCTGAACTATGTGGTTGCACAGAGCTAGTATTGCTCTCCTGCATGATTCATCTGTTCTGTGTTAATTATCTTGAGTTGTTCATAGAGAGTTTGGATATAGTTGTATTTTCTGATGCATGGTTGGACGGAATCAATAGTCCTTCTCTTCCTGTTGCAGGATGCTGGGCAAAATTTGCTTATGATACCTTCTCCTTTTTGAGTAATATGTTTGGTTCTGCTATTTGTTGGTACTTGGTACTGCCTCCTCATATGCCTCCAGAAGATTACCATGGATGTTTTTCCTGCTCTGACACCATGTGCTTCACTCCAATGACAATCTGTCCTGTGTCATTCTTATTTTCTTGGGAGGTTGTAAAAGACAATTTCAGATCAGAGTTATTAAAGGTTGAAGACATGATAAGGAGATAAGGAGCTAAGGTCTCCTAGAATTTAGCGCAAGGCACAAAATAAGACGCTTGTTTGAGTAATGTCAGGATCACGTGTTATGAAAATATATGGTGAAATTACTCACAATTGAAACAATTCAAAATAAGCAACACAAACTTGCCAGAAATTTTAAAAAGGAAAATTTTCAGCATACTAATCAAGAGGGTTAGCTAAATCAATCTACAAGTATTCTTTCAATTTGCTAATACATTCAATTATAGCAGATGTAATAATTGAAGTCTACAAACATATATATTTTATATATTATCTGATATTCAGATTCAAGTACTAGACATACAAGTAGTCAACCATAATTGTATACATCCGATTGGCAAATGTTTGATACGATATTAAGTATGTCAATCAATGGGCATTTAAACAAAATTGAATGATTGAAAAACAATCATACTTTTTTTAGGTTTGCAGTCTACTGAAACATGTGCCCTTGTGGTTTTTATATGTGCCAGACTAAAGGGGCCTTGCATTTCATGGAATTAGGTGCTATGTTTGAGCCTCGTGGCTTCCTGGGGCTAGGCATACCATGATATGATACAAAGTTCGTCAACCAATGAGCTTTTGAAAAAATTGAATGATTGAAAAACAAAGACATTTTTCCCAAGTTTAGAATCTCCTAAAAAGTGTGCCAAATTGAAGGGTGTCCCGCATTTTATAGAATTAAGCGCTATAGTTGAGCCTTGACAAGTTTGGGGCTTTTCGTGTCTGGGCATGCCTTTAACTATTGTTTTATAGATTATTCATTGTCCACTCTCGCGTCAAATAACTTAATATGTTGACATTCATGCAACACAAATGTTTGACCCAATGAACAATGGTAAGGAAAAAAAAGAAGCGAAAAACAAGGTAAAAGGGTGGCATAAGATTCAATTTAGTTCATGTAATTTAATTGTGAATTCTTTTTTACATTTTCTGAAGCTTTCCGAACTTAATCATCTTTACATAATTCTGAAGGTTGCAATTTTTGTTATTTTTTGTTTTTCCTTTTTTTTTTATTTTTATTTTTTTTTTTTATAATTGTTTTAACTTCTGAGTGTATTAACCATCATATGAATATATCAAGTTTTGTTGTTCCACTGGTACCATATCTGAAACTGAAATTTAAAAAAACCATTCAGTGGTGGCATAAGACTCTCTGATGTAGCACTCTCAAAAATTAAATTCTTTGTCCAATTTTGAGGTGTTTGGATCATTTGCCATACTTACGACTCCTACTATGGTTCTACATGTATAAAATGAGCCATCAATTAAACTGTTACAAATTGCAGAATTTACTTTACATAGGGATCTGCAATCTTTATCAGTGGTCTATTATTGAGCACGATAAAAGAATAAGTATCCATTATCAAAGAAGTCCTTATTCACTATATCTTATGCAGTACTTTGTAAAAGGTATTCTGATCTATGACTGTTGTTTGCAGGCGGAGCTGTACAGAGTTAAAAGGGCATTTGACAAAGCGGAACCATTGTATTTAGATGCCATTAAAATACTTGAGGAATCACTTGGACAAGATGATATACGGTACAGAATAATTTTATGCTGTCTGAATGTGTTATCTAATTATATACATCAGTCTTCATTAAATTTGAGTTAAATGTTGATTGACGGTCATAAATGTATAATGGCGGGAGATATAAGATAATGGCTAGATAAGTAACCTATTTATAGCCTTCTCAATTTTATGTCATGGTGCATGTTTAGATTTGACTTTCACATCCCTTTTTCTCTTATGTAAATTTATAGATCTGTAATTGATTAACATCATCACCATCCTTGGAACATTGTTGATTAATTGGATGTATTGTGGCTCTTTTATGACCCCAAGATGAGTGTATGATGTGAAATTTTGCTAATTTGGGGGGAGGGGTTAAATTTGGAAATCTGAGGAAGAATAGGAATTGATCTGAAAAGATCTAGAACTACTTGTTAAACTTGGTGCACTGGTTATGAAGTCCCTAGATCAAATTCCTAAGGTTCTTCTAATTTTCTTTCATTCTTTACAATTTCCTACAGACCACAGAAAGTTGTTCTAATTTTCTTCATTCTAAGGGTGATAAGAGCTGAATTATTGTAATTGTCTCAGTTATCCCCAAGACAAAATAGAATTTTCAATTAATAGTCTGTGCTTTTCTTTGGACTTTGAGGTTGTCTCCATTTTAGGATACTGTTGAGATTGGTCTAATTGTCCTTCTAGCTTCTGTTTTTAATTGTATGCGCGGGAGAAAGTCAATATTACCCAAAGCTATTTCTAGTGCCTTTATGACTCTAATTCCAAAAAAGGATCATTGTGTATCTTTTCTTTTGGCTAGTACATCAATTGTGATTAATGCTTAGTGTTTATGTATGCATCTTTCATATTTGTTGAGTAATATATGTTGAATCAAGTTTATGTTGGACCTACAAATGGAGTGCTCAAGGCCATAAATGAAGACTACTAGGATAAATTGACCTTATATGCATCATATCCTGCTTCAGATTGTTAAGTTTACATCTATCGAACAGTTGACTCGAATTAAGAGGAGGGTTGCATTTTGTAGCTGGTGTCAAATGTAGAACCTATCGGCAGATATCTGTGACATATAATTTTTTTTGGTATCATACCCAAAATTGACTTGAATCTCTTCTAATCTCATAGGTATTTAAAGTTCCATTTGTTTGGCACGTTGGGGTCTTGCTAAAGTAGTGATTTGATTGGAAGGGATACATTGAAACTTGCAGTTTGGCAGCTGCATTGGCTTTGGCTACCTTAAATATTTAGCATAATTCTAAATCATTGAGGTGCAGGTCCTTTGTTTGAATGTCTTTGTAATATACTGTTTGCTTTCTATTGATTTTTCCTATAGACCATTTTTGTCAGCCTTCATTTTTCTTATTTGAGTCCCAGTTTGCTTTTGTAGAAAGCTTTGTTCCCTTGCATTACCAGTTTACCACTATAAAATCATCTAAGTTGAATAATTTTTTTCTTTCTTAGTTGGTACTCACACATACATGCCTCCACTGAGGCTCGAACCCCTAACCCCTAGGCCCCCTGTTGGTAAAGAAATTAAAATCTAAGTTGAATATTCATTATTGGGTACTATAAGATCTAAAAATTATATGTTCTACGCTCGCGCACACCCCCCCCCCCCCAACACACACGCACATTTTATGCATTTGTGGATTTTGGCTCCTTTGAGTGAAATTGCTTGAATGATCATGTATACGAGTAGACACAGAACTTCACTTTACAATTTTTGTTAATTGATTGGCTGTTGAACTAACTGCTGGTCTTTTCCATTTTGTCACATCATTAATGAATGAACATTACTCATCCGAGTCTGGAACTTGTTGTTACAGTGTTGGAGTTGCCCTTCACAACCTAGGTCAATTCTACCTTGTACAGAGGAAATTGGAAGACGCTCGTGTCTGCTATGACGTAAGTAGATATCTATATTTTTAGTTATATTACTTTTGGATCTATTATGCATATAAATGTTTATCACAAGTGCACTTTTGGGTCTATTATGCATATATATGTTTATCACAAATGCATCTCTGTTAAAGATGACTTCCTGAAGGATATATATATATATTTATATTTCATTCAAAAAATCATTTAATTTCCTGAAAATAGATCAACAGATGCATCAAATTTCTAAAAACTAACGAGCATGTGTTACTGTTGTCACCTCTTTTTGGGTTTCTTGTCTTAAATTTGTTATTGTAATATTTTAGGAAAGTTCTGATAAGAGAACAGCATAATGCACTGGTGTAGAATTTATTTAAAGACTGTGTTCTCTATGAAAGTCATCATAAGTTACACAATCAAATATTAGGCGTGTAATTTACTTCTATTATAGGTAACCAACTTACTTTAAACTTACTTACCAATTTTTTTTCCTTTAAAGTTTAATCTTGTAATCACTTATCAAAAAAAAAAAAAAAAAAAAGGTTTAATCTTGTAATTAGGGAATGACTTGGATCATGGAAGCTTGAATGGATTTATAAATAGTGGTGTTCGAGTTGTTTATTGAAGGAAAATGAGATTTAGGAACTACAAAAATTACTTTTGGTGCAGTTATGTGTAGACTTAACCATCTTGTGAGGATCAAAAGCATAGATAGTTTCAAGAAATAGAATTTTAGAGTTGATTATGTTTTGAACAGAGTGAAAACAATATAGCGTATAGGGAACTTGTTGCTGTTACAGATGAGGTCAGTCAAGCATGTGTAAATATTGTTGGTTAGTTGATGAAAGTTTAAGTGAGAGTAGTTCAAGAAAGCCCTACAAATGTAGAAACCACTCCAGTACCTATGCACAAGTGTAAGGGTAATATTTGGTGCTGCATCAACTACTGTGGTAATAAAGTCAGTCTACATGAAATCATAGCATAAAAAATTCTATTGGCATCATCTTTGGAAAATAGACCATTTAACTCATCATTTAAGTTACTATTCTTTTTGGTTCTTTCAATTTGCTCACATTGTAGCTCAAGGAGAGACTATACGTTACTTAAAGAGGGGTAGTAATAGTTCGTAGCTTGTTGGTACAGAAAACAGTCTCAGTGGCTGCAGTGCAACTTATTATTGGCAATTTAACTTTATATCAGATAAAAAAAACTGCCATGTGCAACATACTACACTTCTTAAAATATTCATGAAAAGTTGACAGAATAATTCGCATGACAAGTGACAACCACAGATTAAGTAAACCAAATAATATAGTGACGCTGATAATACGGTTTCTTTTGCTGCACTACAGTACTACTACTGAACTTTTTGGATACTACAATGTCAGTTTCTTTTGCAACATAAGACTGCTGAAATTTATCTTCCTTTTACTAACGATTGGTTGTCTTATTTTTTTCTTATTTTGTTTCATGATTGCGGCAGCGAGCTTTAAAGGTATGAATAGAATGTTGGCATGTACATTGTTGTCATTTAATTTAATTGTCAACTAAAAGAGTGGATTAGTGTCACCAGTTACCAACCCCACCTCTCCAACACACGCACCCAAAAAAGAACATGCATGGAATATTTGTCATATTTCTATTACTATTATTCTCCTTGCCCCATTGTTAAATGTATAGTCTTCATCTATTTCAACTTATAAACTTATTGTCGCCTCATAATGATTCAGATAAAGAGGCGTGTTCTGGGACCTGTTCACTCAGACTATGCAGATACAATGTATCATCTCGGAACAGTAATACATTTAAAGCTCTAAGATATTTTTATACTATTATTTGTACTATACATTCTTTCTTTGTGACGTTTTCCATAGGTTCCTAATCTAAAATTTTAGATTGTTCTAATCCTTTGTCCACATAAAGTTGTGCAATTTTATTATCTTGTTTATCTTAATATGCTTGAGGCAATAGTTAAGTTACTAGCTAATCAATGCCCATGGTTCTTGTTACATGAATTCACAATGTGTGGTGCTAACTTCTTAAAGTTCACGGAGATACACTTGCACTTAATTTATTGTCTTTGCTGCTTATCTTTTTTTGTTATTGAAACTTCGGAGATACATTGACGATATTAAAAGAAAGTTCCATTAACTTTGATGCTGTCTTCACCTAAGCTTTTCATTTCTCAGTAGGAATTTCTCACTAATGCTATGTTTGGTTGGAAAGAAGGATGGAAGAGAGGAGGGATAGAATAAGCTTCCCTTGTTTGGTTGGAAGTAAGGGAAGAGAGGGAGGAAGCTAGAAGGGATGAAACATCCCTCCTAGTCCATGATTTTGGAAAGTTCTTTATCCGTCCAAAATTGGGAAGAAGATAGGAGGGAAAGAAAGAAAAGTTACCCTATACATATTTAATACCAATTTAGCCTTTAATACTTACAAAATCACTTGTTAAAACCTACTCAAATTCTCTCACACGTGTAATAAGGGTATATTGATAAAAAATACATATAAAAACTCTAATTCCCTTCCTTCCAATCAAACAAAAAAAATTCTCACTCAATTCATGTTTTCTATTATCCGTTGTATTCAACAAAAGAAAAAGTGAGGGGGATACCTTGTCTTCCCTAGGGATGCCTCATCCATCTCTCCCCCTCTCCCTTCCATCCATTTTTCCATCCCTCCAACGAAACAGAGCATAATAGTGCGGCAACTTTATTGGTTGGTCATATTCATATATGCATTGAGCATTCTTTCTATGTTGGAGATGGGTGCCTCGTTTTATTCGTTATGTTGCATTGATTCCTCTATATGTGTGTGATGGACTTGTTTAAGACACGCTACACTTGGATATACGTACAAGTTATTTTCTGACATGTCTAATTAGACATGCATATAGCAAGTAACCGATAATTTAACTTTCTTATTTAATTGTATATAAACTCTTTTATTTTTTTTTTTTTCCGACCGTTTTCAACACTTTATTATATAAACAAACCATTTTACTCCAAAAACTAGAAGAAGGATATTAAAGAGTATTGAAATTTAGCAGTATTCCCGTGTCTTTGGATTTGATTTGATAAATCAAACACTTAGACAAATACTCGCGCATGACACACATGCCTAACCATATGTTACAGGGACTTATATACAGTTATGGGTGTTTGTCTAGGTTTTGATCTCCCTAACCTTGAATCTCAAGAGAAGGGAATTTGGCTTGTAATATGGTCTGGCCGTGGACCCAAGGGAAGGTTTCCTATGCTATTAGGAACACCGGGAAAAGGAAAGAAGCGTGGAGGTGGGGGTGGTGGGAAGGCAAGATGAACCAAATTCTTTACCAATATCTGATTGTTAAGAAATTTATTATTATTTTCAGCAACTTTTCTATTTTAGTTTGAATTTAGATTTGGCAGTAAAACCAATCATTGCTGAGATTGGGTATGAAAGCCCTATATAATCTTTTCAAACATGATTATATACACTACTTTTCAGACTAAGCTACAATAAAAGAGTTTGCTTTTCAATATCTCCTCGTTTCTTGAGGTTTTCCTCGTCTTTCGTTTATACACTTGCTGCGATTAACGATTAGATCGTGTCCTCTTTGTAAGGTGGCCTCAAAATGTGTCCAAAAGAATGTACAGATACGGGAACACATCTTGCATATTTAATACATTTTATGTTATGTAATATTGTAAGATATAGCGCTGCATACTTGATTCAAATTTAACTTCGATGGGATATGGTGAAAAGAAATAGAAGTTTCCTTCTCTCTCTCCATGAAAAGTAGAAATATTTTCTTCCTCCTGTTTAATCACACGTAGAGGATCGACTTATTCAAATTTGGGTTTGCGTATAGGACACATGGCCCATACTCATTCCGGTGACATGTTGTGTCCACACAATGCTTTGAGGGGACTAGGAGGACCCATGTAACACAGCCTTGGAAAGCAACACAGGAATCTTTTTATACCATTGAATAATAAACAATATTTGAACTAAAGAATTGAAATATAGCAGAAAAAGAAAAAGAACCCACAGGCCAAGTCGGTGTATGTAACATAGTCTTTAGTTTCCTGGAATTTTATTGTTTGTTTTATTTATCCTCTATTTAATTTTTTTTTGATAAGTTATCCTCTATTTAATTTGGGAATGAGAGATACCTTTTCTGCTGAAACTTAGTTTTCTCTTCATTTGTACTTCAGTTTTTCTATCCTTTGTTGTTTCCTTCTACAGTGTTCAAGAGTTTTCCTATTGATTAAACACCAAAAGCATCTGTAAACAGATCAAAAATTGTATTTGGATGGAAAATTTTTCTTTAGTAAGGGAAAAAAGTAAAATATAAAGACCACAGCTAGGGATACATACAACAAGAAAGCACTCATTCACCTCTTCTTAGTTAAAAATCTCGTTAGCAATTATATCTTTTGTTTTTGATAAAATTATATATGAAGCCGTTTTATAGAAGGATTATGTTAATGTAGATGATGATTCTCAGGTCAATTTTGTCCCAGTATTTTCAGTTAGGCTTAAATAAATGCTGTTTCACCATTCTTCTCAGTCAAAGGCTTTATTCTTTGTTAAATTTACTTTTAGTTCGGCAGGTTGTTCCTGACAATCCCAGTTTATTTCCTTTTTGTTGATCTTATTGCCCTTGCAACACCTTCAACTTGAACCACATTGCTTCTCATTGATGCAGTTTTGGTCCATGTGTTACGTGACAAAATATCCCATCTGACTAATTATCTTTTTGTCACCTATTGATGCCACCTGTATTTAGGCTTCTTAGCAGTTTGTGCTGCAAGGTTTTGTTTTTTCTCTATAAGAGTCTCCTCAACTTAATTGGTATCTAGTAAACTGCTGTCACATGACACCCTGGAAGCACCAGCTCATTCCATATATTTCATCTTGCTCTGTTTTTATTTTGGCCATGCTATCTTCAATCTCTCCTTTTTAATACCTGAACCAAAACTTATCACTATCTCAGTTACATTAGTATTAACATTCCTTATTTTCGTCTCCCTATTTTATTATTATTATGCCCAATATTTTCTCAGTTATGCTTTTATCCGGCCCTTATAATATTAGCCGTTCCCCCAATTGTCTGCAGGTTGAGTTGTGAATTCATACCAGATCAAGGGTTCAAGGACAAGCACTAACCTGTCCGTGAAAATTTTCTATCCAATTTCCGAATTTCTCCCATAAATGAACTGGTCTTGTCTATGATTTATGTATTGATCTAATAAAATGCATGTTACACAATAATTTATGTAGCGACCATGCAAGAATAATGTAACTTGTTTTTCCTTATAATTGGCTATATTACAATTCATTATTTCTAGCTGTAGATGTGATTTATATAGCATGATTAAACATTTGAAAGATAACAATATTGATTTCTGATTGGTGTGCTGTTTGTTTGTTATTATTAAAATTTTTGTTTGACTAGAAGGGTATTCTTACCTTTCTGGTGGGATTAATCCTTTCTGGGCACACACTAGGTCATAGTGCTGTGTGCAAATTTTTGTCTTGGGAAAATCCCCCATTGCCCCGAGGGAAGGGGTTAAGCCAAGACCTTTACCTTCTCAAGCTGGGTCCTGGCCAACTATTCTACCTCCTTGGGATTAAAGCATAGTTTAGTTATCACTAACTTCTTTTTCTAAACTTGTTTGCCAAGAATTCTCTCCATATTTTATTGTCAGACTCAATGTATTAAGTTAGATAATGTTACTTGAAACTTCCTCAGTATTCCACATTCTACACCTTATTAATTCTCTCCTTGGACTATAGTTTGTAATTGTTAGAATGTATATTCTTTATAGTGTTGGGTCATTATGTAATTACCCATAGTAGTTAGGGTTATTGTGTAATTATGTAATTAGGGTCTCTAACCCTTTTCTTATATAAGCCTTATTTAGAGGGCTGAAGATGAGCAATAGAGTATATACATTTCCTCTCAATCTCTCTCTCTCTTTCTCTCCCTATCTCTCATGAATCTGAACATGGTATCAGAGCGGTATAAATTCATGGGTGTGGGAAACAATAAGTGTGTTGCCCTTGTATGAGAGCGACTGGAATCGTGAGTATATCGTCGGTGTCTTTGTCGGAAGTTCGTGTCGCCGGTAGGTTGAGAACATCGTCCTTAGTCGCCGTCAGATCTGAAACCTATCGTCGTCGTCGTCAGATCTGCAGCCTCCTTCGTCGCCGTCAGATCTGAAGCCCCTTGGCCGCTTGTGTTGTTGCCGCGTTGATCGTCAGCAAGCTCGCTGACATCCACTGTCGTTGTTGGCAGAGGTGAAGCTTCATCGATTCGCCTCTTTTTTCTTGGTCGGAAGTTGCGGAGGTTGTGTGGTGTCGCCGTTGTGTGCTCGCCGGAGTCTGTTAGTGGGTTGTGAAGGAGAACAGCCCTGTTTGGTAGCGCAGCTACACTATTCCAATCCTGGTTTACTAAAACCGGGATAGCAGAGACTTGTTTTGATCTAATCCAGTTACCCAGATCCGATCCAGCTACCCAGATCCGATCTGGTTTCAGATCCGACCCAGGTCCGACTTCGACTCGGTTCAAGCTCCGACCCGGATCCAGATCCGACCCGGTTCCGATTCTGCATTTTTCCCAGGTTCTTTTTTTTTAATCTTCTCCATGGCTTCCAGTTCCGATCTCCTATCTCCTGTATCCTTTAATCCTCCCATGACTTCAGTCAAGCTTAATGGAAAAAATTACATTTTATGGGCCAAGTCAGTGGCCATTTTCCTGAAAGCCAAAGGCTTTGGCGATCATTTGGTTCAAGATAAACCCAAAAGTAGTGATGCTAATTTTAGTTCATGGGAACAAAGAGATGCTCAGATCATCTCCTTAATGCTGAATTGTATTGAAACTCATATTAGCTCCAACCTGTTATATCTGGACACTGCCAAGGAGATATGGACTCGACTCCAACTGTTATATTCTGGTGCTGGTAATATAACCAGAGTTTATGAGGTGTGTAGACAATTTTTTGATCTCCAGCAAGGGACTCACAGTTTAGAAGAATACCTCTCACGAGCAATGGGACTGTGTGAATAAATGAATATGTATCATCCCCTCACCTCTGATGTGAAAAGCATGCAGCAGCAACGTGAGGATTTTAATGTTCTTCTGGTTCTCACAGGATTGTCACAAGAGTATGAACCTGTTCGTGCACAGATTTTGGGTAGCTCTACACTTCCCTCTCTACCTGATATGTTATCTAGACTCCAGCGTGCCACTTTATCTAGTGCTCTTCAGGCAGTACTTCCAGTGGTGTCACTGTTCCTTCTAACAGTGAACGTTCTGCCTTAGTTGTGAACCAGGGTGGCTTTCAGTCTTCTCGTGGAGGTGGTGGTGGTGGTCGTTTCGGCCGTGGCCGTGGTCGAGGCAAAGGCAGAGACTCCAAAATTTGCACTCATTGCGGTCTTACCAATCACACGGTCAATTACTGTTGGGATCTTCACGGGAAACCGCCATCTTCTTCCTATGCACATCAAGTGACTGCTAGTGATGGGGATTCTTCTCTCTGCCACATCCACTGCTCCACATGTGGCTGTTGAGACTACTATGGTCACGATTCCCCGTGATGAGTATGCTCAATTTCTGTCTCAACAACGGACTTCCACCTCATCTTCCATGGGGTCCTTGGCTCAATCAGGTAGTGCCCCTGCATGTCTTTTGTCCTTTAGTCAGAGTCCCTGGATTCTTGACTCTGGCGCATCCGATCACATAACTGGTAGTTCTCATCTCCTATCTGATTTTCAGTCTGTTCCTTCCTCTCAAAGTGTTACTCTTGCTAATGGATCATCAACTAAAGTCTTGGGTTTGGGAACTGTTCCTCTTACCCCTTCTATGTCCCTTTCTTCTGTGTTATATGTTCCTCAATTCCCTTTTAATTTGTTGTCCATTAACAAAATTACTAAATCTCTTAACTGTTCTGTAACATTTTATCCCATATGTTGTCTTTTTCAGGATCTCAAGACGAAGAAGAGGATTGGTATGGGACATGAAGTAGGTGGCTTGTATTACTTCGATCTTGCACTATCTCCCACGGCTCTTCAATCATCTCTGTCTTCTTTCCAGTGGCACTGTCGTCTCGGCCATCCCTCGCTATCAGTTCTGTAGCGTCAAGTTCCCGGTCTTAGTCATGTTAAGTCTCTGTCTTGTGAAACATGTCAGCTTAGTAAGCATTGTCGTGTATCTTTTAAGCCAAGAACTAATAATCGTGTGGCTAGTCCTTTCCAATTAGTTCATTCAAATGTATGGGGACCAATAAAACATATTTCTATTAATGGATTTTGTTATTTTGTGACTTTTGTGGATGATCATTCTCGGATGACTTGGTTGTTTTTAATAAAAAATCGTTCTGAGTTGTTTTCTATTTTTCAAATATTTCGCAAAGAAATCAAAACTCAATTTGGGTGTTCCATTAAAGTTTTACGTTCTGACAATGCCAAAGAATATTTCTCGGACCCTTTTGAGACGTATTTTCATGCCAAAGGCATCATTCATCAATCCTCTTGTACTTATACTCCGCAACAAAACGGAGTAGCTGAGCGTAAAAATCGCCATCTTCTGGAAGTCTGTCATGCACTTTTATTTTATATGCATGTTCCCAAACGTTTTTGGAGTGATGCTGTTCTTACGGCATGTCATCTTGTTAATAGGATGCCCTCATCAGTGCTATACGGTAAATCTCCTCACTCTGTTCTATTTCCCGACTCCGTATCGTTTAATCTGACTCCGCGGGTCTTTGGCTGTGTGTGTTTTGTCCATAACCATGGACCTGGTCTTGATAAACTCGACCCTCGTGCAACTAAATGTGTTTTTCTTGGGTATTCACGCACTCAGAAGGGCTATCGGTGTTACAGTCCTCATTTCCAACGCTATTTCACTAGTGCTGATGTAACATTTTCTGAGTCTATCCCATATTTTTCTGATTCTACTAGTCCTCTCGATATTACTTCTAAGCCACCTCTGCCATCGGTTCCCTCTCAGTTTCCTGTTTCCGCACCTCCTCGGTCTGCTGTTCCTTTGCAGGTTTATACTCGACGACCTCGACCGCCTACTTTGCTCCCTCCATCTCCTTCAGAGTCTTCGGATCCGACGCCTTTACCTGATGATTTGCCTATTGCCCTTCGTAAAGGTATTCGGTCGTGTGTTACTGCTCATCCCATTTCTAACTTTGTCTCCTATCGTCATATTTCATCCTCTTTATCTTGTTTTTTATCCAAAGTATCTGCTACTTTTGTTCCCAAGACATTGCAGGATGCTTTCTCTGATTTGGGTTGGTGGCAAGCCATGGTAGATGAAATGGATGCCCTTCATCGTAATGGAACATGGGATCTTGTTCCCTTACCTCCGGGCTCCAAACCGGTTGGTTGTAAGTGGGTCTACACAGTTAAATACCTTCAAGATGGGTCTATTGAGCGGTTGAAGGCTCGTCTAGTGGCAAAGGGGTACACTCAAACTTATGGTGTTGACTATGATGAGACTTTTTCTCCTGTTGCTAAGATTTCTTCTATTCGGATTCTTATTTCCATTGCTGCCAATTGTAACTGGCCATTGTTCCAATTGGATGTCAAAAATGCCTTCTTACATGGTGACTTGGTTGAAGAAGTTTATATGGAGCAACCACCTGGGTTTGTTGCTCAGGGGGAGTCTCGTCACATTGTTTGTCGCCTTAAAAAGGCCCTGTATGGATTGAAACAATCTCCGCGGGCTTGGTTTGGGAAATTCTCTGAGGCGGCATTAGAATTTGGTCTTAACAGATGCCAGACCGATCATTCGGTATTTCACTTGCGCACTAAAGCTGGCTTCATCTTTCTTGTGGTGTATGTAGATGATATTGTGATCACAGGTGATGATTCTGCAGGCATTGCTAAGTTGAAGTTGTTTCTGCAAAATCGGTTCCACACTGAAGACTTGGGTAAACTTAGATACTTCTTGGGTATTGAAGTTGCTAGATCCAAGGAAGGTATAAGTTTATCTCAACGAAAATATGTGTTGGATTTGCTAGAAGAAACGGGTATGTTAGGTGGTTGTCCGGTTGATGCTCTTATGGATTCAAATACAAAACTTGTGTCTGATGAGGGTGATCTATTTAATGACCCAGGCAGATTTCGTCGCCTTGTTGGGAAATTAATTTACCTCACTATCACTCGACCTGATATTTCATATGCAGTTAGCGTTGTAAGTCAGTTTATGGGAGCTCCTAGAATGCCACATTGGATTGCTGTTCTTCGGATTATCCGATATCTCAAGCGAGCTCCAGGTTTTGGGTTACTATACCATTCAAATGGTCATCTCAGGGTGGAAGGTTTTACAAATGCTAACTAGGCTGGTTCTCCTTTAGATAGGAGATCTACTACAGGCTACTGTACATTTGTAGGAGGAAATCTTGTTACATGGAAGAGTAAAAAGCAAACGGTGGTAGCTCGATCTAGTGCTGAAGCTGAGTACAGGGCAATGGCACATACCACTAGTGAGTTGACATGGATACAAAATCTTCTAAAAGAACTTAAGTTGACAATTGAAACTCCTACTCCATTGTTCTGTGATAACCAAGCAGCAGTTCACATAGCATCGAATCCTGTGTTTCATGAGAGAACCAAACATATTGAGGTTGATTGTCATTTTACTCGGGAAAAAATATTAAGTGGTAGCATCTCTACTCCATTTGTGAAGTCTGAAGATCAACTAGCTGATATGTTTACCAAAGCACTGGGTCATAATCGGTTAAAGACTATCTATTCCAAGCTGGGATTATTTGATAGATATTCTCCAGCTTGAGGGGGAGTGTTAGAATGTATATTCTTTATAGTGTTGGGTCATTATGTAATTACCCATAGTAGTTAGGGTTATTGTGTAATTATGTAATTAGGGTCTCTAACCCTTTTCTTATATAAGCCTTATTTAGAGGGCTGAAGAGGAGCAATACAGTATATACATTTCCTCTCAATCTCTCTCTCTCTTTCTCTCCCTATCTCTCATGAATCTGAACAGTAACTTTACCTTTCCATCCATGAAATACTTTTTCTGAAAGAACATCTCTTGCCTTTCGGCTGTTTGAAAATTTTAGGATAAAGAATTGCTTACATTTTTTTTAAAGCCATTTAAATGGGCCTAAAATATTTTCTGATGTTTCTTAACTTTCTTTTTGTAAAATGCATTATGTCTTGGGAAGTAAATTAACATGGGTTTTTTTAATTGGCTTTCAAGAATTATCAATATTTTGTTCACTTGTATATTTGATATCTTATTCTGGTAATTAGTCATATTTCAATTAAGGAGTTTTAATTTGCTATGAGTGACAAAAGGAGTATCCAAGCAAGCACCCCTTAGTAATGGATCTTTTTACTTCTGCTTGGGGGATCGAGTGTTCAAGCACCCCCTTAGTATTGGAGTAGCTATTATGTCACATCATTGGTATGCCCAGCCAATGAAAATGCACAATTCAAGTTGCATTTTCATTGGCCGGTATGCCTGGGTCACCCAATATCTTCTCTTAATATATTGGACCTTCTTCCATTTGTCCTGCTGGTGCTTTATTCCTTGTTCTTTTATCATTCATTCATTGTCTGTGTCTTGAGTGACTTACAGGTGCTTTATCTACAAGGAAAAGAAATGGATTCTGAGGACCTTATTAAAGATTCTATACGGATTTTAGAGGTTCTTGTATATCATTCTATGGAAATGCTGATTTTGGACTGTTCACTGTTAATATATTTTTCTTGTTCTTATCTTAATTGTTGTTTGATTTTGAAGGAAGGCGGGCAAGGTGAATCAATCTTATGCATCAGGAGGCTACGGTATCTTGCTCAGGTTATACTTTCATTTGGAAACTTGACCTAATTTCCATGTATGATCTATAATTTGACAGTTCAATTATGCATCTGACTAATTTTCTCATCTTATAGTTTTTCAAGCAAAAATATGTTGGTCTGACAGGTCCGGCTTATTTACTAGTTAGAATGAAATCTTGTATCTTAATTAGTGCTGTAATTGAAATGTTATTCAAGTGGCAGTTTGCATATTGTTGTGCAGTTTTCACTTTAAAGAAGCCTTCTAAAGGTTGGTCTTGATTAAAGATTGACTAATATAAAATAGTGTTGATGGGATGAGTTGGTGTCTGTGAAAATCTTTTAACAGATAGATATGACCATAAATGCAATGATATAGTAATTCAGTTACCTCCAAGATCAACTAACATGTATATGTTGAAAGTTTTCTGGCCAAAGTGAAAGATTTGTCATGAATTTGATTTGACCTATTGTCTGTAGTTGGTCAACAATCAATTTTTAAATGGTAGTTGCCCAAATGGGCCATCTTTCTTGTATTTAGAAGTCTGGAGTCCCTACATTTCATGCCAACTTTATAGGAAAATCTCTCTCTCTCAATGCACACTTACACGCACACGCACACGCACACCTACAATTCTCAGCCTTCCTTTACTTTCTATGAAAATAATCTTCTTACGTGTTAAATTTATTTCCTTAGCTTTTCTTATGTTGTCATAAATTCACTCGAAAATATGTTCGTGGATATGTAATATTGTGCACTATAAGCATAAAAAATGGGTAAAAACTCAAATATTGACATAGAGGTAAGAGATAGAAGGATGAGGAATCCTGTAAGCCTGAAAGAAAAAGACACAACATATATAGTATGCAAAAATAAAATAAATAAAATAAAATGACCAACAAATTCTTACAATTGCAATACAAAAACCCACCCTCAAAAGTAAGCTATGGGACGGTTATGTCTGTTGTACTTTGAGTTATATGTGAGAAGTAAGTAATCAGAAAACTAGGTTAAATTTGGTTTGACCTTAAGCACCACATTTATAAGCTACTGTAATTTAAAGCAAAATGGTAGATTGGTTGGATTATCCTGGTGTATTTTGTGGGTTTGGAGCAGTGGTTATACACCTTAAACTTAATAGGGTCTAGGCCTTGGAGACTTTTGTTTCCCCGGGGACTAGAATGCCCCTTTTTGTAACTTATCAAAAAAAAAAGAAAAAAAAAAATGCCCCTTTTTGTAGGAGGGCTCGTTCTATTTATAGGTGAAAGCATGCATGGTGATGCTCAGGTCTGGACTGTTCATTAGTGCTTGCCCTAATTTGATCTCACAGACTGTCTTGATGTGCACTTGGAAACATCGTGTCAGGCTGAGGGTGAGATTTGTATCAATGGATGTCCTCTTGGTCATAGGGGCGGCCATAGGGGTGGCTACCATGGAAAACTTCTATTCTAAGCTTAATAGCAGTACTCTGAGAAGTTTCCACGTATGTATCTAGGCCATTGCCAAAGCGGCTGCTTCGTAGTCCTGACGGAGTTGATTTCAAGGGTGCCATGTTATTAGGGGAAGGGCATTTGTCATCTTTAAGTCGGAATAAGATATACTGCACCACTCAATCTTCTTATTTATTTGCTTCTTGTGTAATCAAATATGAACTCTCCCATTTATCTGGTTATTGTACCACTCAATATTTTATTTTTAAATTTTAATTTAATCTGCTTATATTCTTACTGTATTATAGATGTACATCAAGTCCAATCAACCTGCAGAGGCTGAAAATGTACAGAGAAAGATCCTGCATATTCTGGAATTATCAAAGGTTATACTTTTTTTTTTTTTTTAAATTTCCTTGAGTTTCCTTGTGTAACAGGCTTTTACCAATACTTGGGTATTTGGATCAATACATAATTCAATAGCTTCCAACACCCCTAGAGAGTTTACAATTTTGAACTTCTTAGTTCTTGCATTTGAAGTTAGCACCAAGTTGAGCTAGTGAAACCTAATGTAATGGAAAGTTTGAGCAGGTTAATGAGAAAAGCGGAAGATCTGGGTTACATCAGGGGGTTCAGAGTTGGCAGAGATGTTGAACATCAGATGCAGATTTCCCATTTATTATTCGCTGATGATACTTTGGTATTTTGTGATGCTGAAGTTTCTCAACTCAGATACCTGAGGTGTACTCTTGCTTGCTTCCAAGGGGTTTCTGGGCTTAAGATTAATGTCGGAAAGAGTGTGCTTGTCCCAGTGGGGGATGTTCTGGATATTTCCTCCTTAGCTGCTGTTTTAGGATGTGGAGTTGGTTGTTTCCCTCTTCCTTACTTAGGATTGCTTTTGGGAGTTTCTTCTACTAGAGTTGGGAATTGGGATCCAGTGATTAATAGATATGAGAAAAGATTAGCAGGATGGAAAAAGCAGTATCTATCTTGGGGGGGGGGGGGGGGGGGGGGGCGGGCGGGGGAGTCACACTCATTAAGAGTACTCTCTCATCCCTTCCTACCTATTTTTTTTTATCTTTGTTTCAAATTCCATGTCCGTTGCTGAAAAGATTGAAAAAATTCAGAGGGATTTTCTCTGGGGTGGAAGGGGAGAGGAGTTTAAGTATCATCTTGTCAATTGGGATCAAATCTGCCAACCGTTGAGGTTAGGTGGGTTAGGCATTTGAAAAATTGTTCCTTTTAATCGTGCTCTCTTGGGAAAGTGGTTATGGAGATTTGGAAGGGAACGCCATCGTTAGTGGAGAAGAGTTGTCTCGTGTTGTTTTGGTGAGGAGAGTGGGGGCTGGTCATCTCTTCCAGTCACTATTATGGGAGGCGTTGGTGTGTGGTAATTCATGCGGAAAGGTTGGGATGTTTTCTCCACACATATTAGATTCAAAGTTCGTGATGGCAGACATGTTCGTTTTTGGGAGGACCTTTGGTGCGGCGATCAGTTGTTGTCTCACTCCTTTCCTAGGCTTTATAGTATTTCAGCCAATAAGTATGTTTACGTGATTGATTGTTATCAACTTGATAACAATGGAGTTACGTGGGATGTGCGGTTTAGGCGGCCCTTTCAGGATTGGGAAATGGAGGAAACTTGCGTTTTTTTGGATACGTTGTATAGACAGAAGGATGTTGGCAGAGGGTGTGATGATATTTTGTGGGTTCCTTTAGCTCATGGTCGGTATGGTGTCCGCTCTATGTTCATCTGTTTGTCCAATTTCGTTGGTCCTGAGTTCCCTTGGAAGTCTGTCTGGCGCTCTAAAGCTCCTCTTTGAATCGCATTCTTCGTTTGGACTGCCACATTGGGGAAGATTTTGACATTGGACAATTGAGAAAGAGAGGCAACATTATTGTTAATTGGTGTTGTTTATGTAAAGCTCATAGTGAATCCGTGGACCACATTCTTTTGCATTGTCCTGTGGCGTTTGATTGTTGGAGTTTTATTTTTAGCATGTTTGGTGTTTTTTGGGTAATGCCTAAGCACTCCTCTCAATTGATTAACGCTTGGAAAAGGTGTCCTGTCAAAGAACAAGCTCGGGATTATTGGAAGATTGTTCCACATTGTGTGTGGTGGTGCTTGTGGCGTGAGAGGAATAACAGATCCTTTGAAGGAAAAGAATCGTCTTTAGCTACTTTAAAAATTCATATTTTTCATTCTCTGTTCTCTTATGTAAGAGGAAGTGCATGCTCCTTGATTGATGATTTCTTTGATCTCTTGGATTCCATTGGTCCTTGGACCTTTTTTGTTCTTGTATTAGGGACACGTTCCCCTTTTGAACTTTTTTCTAATATATTTTTACTTATCAAAAAAAAAAAAAAACCTAATGTAATGGTCTTTATCAAGTTTCTTGGGTACTTGAGTAAAATTGTTTCTGTGATGTTGTGGCCATAATTTAATTTCGGATGGGGGCGTGTTGCGATCCGTTTTTGGTTGCGGGTCCTGGACCTTGTTTAGAACTCTCTTGTAGCCTGGTATATAAGGGTGTTTAGGGTTTTGAGTGGGAGAAGGAGAGACACTGAAAATTGCAAAATAGAGAGTGAGAGCGAGAGCTTAACACTAATTGCTATTCAGCTCGTTGAGAAATTTTTGGCTCCCTTTATATTATTCCATCTCTTTGATAGCCATATCAGAGCATACATATATCTCCTAACCACTTGAACCCGCCAACCTGTAAAGCCTCCAGCCCTCCAATTGATGCTTTTCTACTGCAATTTGAGCCCTGCATTTCCCCCTGATGTAGGAGCATGAGATACCACCTCCGCTAGACTGGTGATGCTCACTAACTAATCATACTCACATTGATGCAAGTATGTGACATTGATTTCATGTTCTCATCTGTTGACTATTTGGTTGTACTCACACAGTCACCCTTATGCAGTATTAACAACTTCAGAATTTTTGTTTCTTTTGTCAGTACTTTAGCTTAATACTACTAATCTTGTAGCACAGGGATGGAATTCATTGGACACTGTTATTGCAGCTGAAGGCCTTGCCCTGATCCTTCAATCAATAGGGAGGTTAAATGAAGCTCAAGAAATTCTAGAGAGGTGAATAGATTATGTTATAACTGACAATGAGCTATAGCTTACTGCTTACATAATGTAAAATGATTGATTGTTTTCTGTTGCAGATGTCTCAAGGTCCGAAAAACCTTACTCCCTGAAGACCATATTCAGGTTAGTTGTTGCAATATAGAATAATTCTATTTTTTATTATTTCTATTTTACTTCTCTTATGCTTGTCAAATATCAAAATTTCTAAACTTTAGCGGTAGAAGGTCATGTGCCTTATTTATTTATTTGTTCTAGGAAGCGCAAATGGAGACTCTGGATAGATGGTTTGTTGGAGAGAGAGGGAAAGGTTTTCTGTTTTTTGGTTATTTGTTTGATCACACTACTATTTTGATTAATTTTCATTTGACCATGAATAAAAACTTTCCCTGTTAAAAGAAGTCATTTGTGGGTTACATGAGGACATCCTTGGGGGTAAATTTTTCAGTAATGGTTGCAGTCCACCCCATTTTTATCACTAATTAGTAACACTTGTTTTAATAAAGACAACAATTAACTGGATTAAAGTATGTTTGTACTACTTTAGAAGTTTGAGTTATCATCTCTTCGAAATCAAGTTGTCGAAGCACAAGTATTTTCTTATTAAAACCAATAGAACTGCGAATGCATTGAAAAAGTTTATTGCTTAATTGTTGATAAATAAAACCCATTTGTTATGTAATTATGTCGTTGATTCCTGATTGAAGATTTTTGCCACTCCCTTAAATTATTGATTCAATGTTTCGCATGGCAAGAAGGTTTCAATCCAGTGCATATTGTTTAATTCAGGATTGAATTTGTTGGAGAAAAATGGAAAAACCTTGATTATGTAGTTTTACTTAGAAAATGAAACAAATAGCATACATCTGAGTTCTTATCAAAAAATAAAAAAAATAAATAAAAATAGCATACATCTGAGTTATGCCTTCTATTTTTGTCCAATGGCAGATTGCTGCTAACATTCTTCACATAGCTAGGGTGAAAATTCACAATTCGGACAAACTAAGGAAGACAAATGTTTCTGAAGCAATTGCTGAGCTTGAAAAGGCAAAAGATCTTTTAGGCAGATCAAAAAGGTTTGTGTTGTTTTGTCACATGTTTCTGTCTTATAGTGTTAGACATTATATATATATATATATATATATATATATATATATATATATATATATATCTAAACAACTTCTGACTGTTGATATGAAATGCAAATAATTTGTGCCATTTAGTATGTCTTTCATTTCATTCTCTTTTATAGTTGCTCATTTGGTGGAGTGTTCCTTTGTATGGTATAACTATGTAACTGCACTTTATTTCAAAGTCTTCTTTTTTCTGGCTGTAGATGATAGGATGAAAGCTATAATATAAATTTTCGTTTATCATATAATTCTTCCCAATGAATTAATATTTATTTGAACGTAATATTTTCCTTGCAATTTGGCAAACCTACATTTCTCTGTTGAAAAAAATGACGTCGGACATATTTGATTAGAGAACTTTGTTTCAACCAATCAATTAACCACTATCGTTGAAACAATCCCAATCTCGATGCTTTTGTTTCGAGGTGTTTTCCTGGTTATATTTTATCTTTGAGATACAAACAATTTTTTTTATATTTAAAATTAAAAATCATGAGGCATATCCTTAGTGATTTTAACAATTTCATATATGTCTCCACTACAATATTATGTTTATTTCATATTGACGGATTGATAATAGAGTCACTCTATGTTTAGATTTAAGTATTTTTTTTTAGAGTGAGCAAACTACCGAAAGCCAATTTCATATTGGTTGAATTGTCTTACAGTTTGGTACTAGTAGCCATGGTGCATTATTTAGTCTTACATTCTTAAGGTTGAACCATTATGCCTTTTAGCCTTGAAAGGTGTTTAACTCAAAAGAACACTCTAGTTTTTTGATGAACTGATTGATATTTGTTGTGTGCTTATTCTTTCCACCTGCCACTTCCTTGGAGAATATTATATTCTTCCCTAATTCTTCTTCAATTGTGCCTTATTTTTGATCTGGTAGCTAATAGCAGCATACTTTATTTTGAGGTTTATACGGATCGTTTTGAAAAATTGGACTTCTTAATTTAATTTTGAGATGCTTTATCTGCTCAACATCTTTATGTGTAAAGTCTTATAGATTAGTATTATGCGGTTCTTTGTCCATGATAGAATCGCTGAGCAGGTTTTGGATAAATTCATGAAGCAGAAGGGCAGCCATAAATATAATGCAGTACCTGGAGAATCTGGGAAAAATAACCATGCAGCATTTGTGATACTGGTCAGTTTCCCTTCATTTGTGAACAATCTGTTGTTTAGTTGAATGGATATTCTTGTTTTAGTAAGACAATTTTGTTCTTATGTATGGTATCCTCATGTTTAGACTACATCAAGGCCTTTCTTGGCTGATAGCCGCAAAGTCTCCAGGGGCCTTATTCTATGTATGAGTTTGTCACCATCAAGATGGTCTGGGTCCACCTGGAAGTTCTACACCCGTTTGAGAAATTCTAGAAACTTAGTTGTGTTCAAATCTAAAATATTTATTTGCTTTATTTAAGTCCTATTTTTGTTGGGTCCGATTTGCTGGAGTTTCTATTGCCAAAATTAGGAGAAAATTAGATGTCACTGCGAACGGCACTGTCTAAACTTTTTGCTTTTGTCTTTTATATTTTCTTTATCAATGTCTGAGTTTACATTATTCCAAGGGCTAGGATTAATTCTCTTCTAGGTTTACAAAGGCTATATAAAGATTGCAATTCTGTTTTTATTTTTTATTTTTTATTTTCATATGGTTAATGAGAATTTAGTAGAGAATTTACAGCTTTTAAGCTCTTGCTTGGTGATGTAATTGCGCTCATCGTAAGGTAATACTTGGGAAACCCTAGGTATGGTTGTCTGGCTTTCTATAATGATTTTTGCTCGTAGATGATGTTTTCAAAATCCTTACCCTCCGCAATCCTATCATCCACAAGCTAGTTCCAGCTAAACCGAATGATTAACCCTTTATAGGGCTGAACACTAAAGGGATCCTGCATCATTTGCCGCTATGCAAATCTCCTGGAAATGTTGTTGGAGTCTATGAGCAACTGTTTTGTGCAGTTGATTCCAATTAGTAATACTTACGTGTTATTAAGGATTTAAAATTTTTTCAGCCAAAGTCAAAAACAATTGGACAATAGTTTTATTTATAGTTGTGACTAATTCGTGTTTCAAATCATGCTATTTACTATACATTAATACACGTCCAAAACTCTGTGATTAAGAGATTCGTCTTACATGCCATCTGCAGAATCCTGCTTTTTAAGATTAACTAAATTAATATTATCAGAGTTATAAATGAAATCACAAATGTCATTCAAGCACAAAGCATAAATTACATCATGGATGGGGCCACCTTGGTCCCAAGGTGGCTCCTCAATATTCATACACATTTTTGCTTTAGTATGTGTAATTGTTTAATTCTTTTAGAGAATGCCACCCTAAAACTCTCTATTTCTAAAGTTGTTTCTTGGACCTAATATATATATATGTACATATTTATGGAGTATTTAATTATTTATTTACTTTAGTATATGTAATTTTTTAAAATTTTACAAAATGTCCCTATAAAATTCTCCATTTCTAAAAATCTCTCTAATTGTTTCTTTCTTTTCTGTTTTACTTTTTTGCCTTTTCAAGTTTCTTTGATCACTTCAATAAAATTTGCATTCACTTTCTTCAATAAAACCCTAATTTTCCTCTTCAAAGTTTTCATTTTTCTTTCTTTTATTTTTTTTTCTGTTATTTTTTTTCCTCTTGTTTCAGAAATTTCACTTCAATTTTATGAACTTAATGTTTATTTTTTTGAACTTCTTTTGCTTTATATATTTTTGAATAATTACATTTTTAGTTTTTGAATCTTGATTAGTGAAATTTTATTTTTTGGCTTGCTGTTTTGCTGCACTGTTAGTTTAAATTTTTTTTAAAAAAACCTCATGATCATTGTTCCCTCATGAATTAAATTCCTGGCTCCGTCCCCTGATTTACATTATATGTTATGATGGTGTCTTGCCTTGACAAGAAATGTAATTTTTAAACTCCAGAGCCTTGTAGTAATTACTGATATCCTTGTTTTATAGTTAAAAAACTTGTAAACTTGGTGTAGGAGAAAAATGTGAGCGAAATTGAGTGTACAAGAAAGTGAAAATTGGGTATGTTTATGTCTTTAAGGATGATTTAGGAATTCACGTTTTCAATTGTAGCACATTGGCTGTCATGGATCATTAACATCTATACTGATCCAAAACTATAGAAATATTTGGAATACTGAATGGCCTTTACTGGTAAAGACTTAGCTTTATATGGTTACATAATGTTCAATTATCAGTTGTGTAGTTAAGATTTAAGTCCATGGATCTGACATAGGGTTTTGCAATAGCTTTTTATGGTTATATAATGCTCAATAATCTGTTTCAGTTAAGAACTTAAGATTTAAGTCCATGGATCTGGCATAATGTTTTACATTTTCTTGTTATACCATATGGCAGTTGTGAGTTTTAAACACCATTCCATGTGCAGATTTGTTGAATGGTACGTGTTTTAAGTCTTATTTATTATCTTCTTCAGCTAGCAAGTTCTGCACAATTTACTTGGAGAAAACTTGATTTGGTGAAGTTTTTGCTGGCTTTAAATTGTTCTCTTGTCTACTGCGAACTTGATTTTACCAATGATAGGCGGGAATACAGAATTCGGAGGCCTTACTGGTGTGATGAGTAGTGCCAACACCTCTATTAAAAAAAAAAAAAAAAGAATAAAAACAAATAATTTAAAAAGTTGCTAAGGACGACCTCGCTGGGTCCATAGAGCTTCAGTATTGGCAATATATATGTCAATAATCAATATACACCAATATCAGAGAAATAAGGTCAAAAGTTGTTACATATGGATTAAACATTTGTAGGTTATCATTGTTTTTTATTAAAATGTCTCAGGTTGGTAGCTAGTAAAATATCTTTTTATTTTGTTGAAACTTAAAAGAGAAGCTAAGGAAACCATCTTGTGCATCTCAGAGAAAGAAGATAATATAAAAAGCTAAGTTCATGATATTGGGTTTCTAGTATGTTTCTGATGTATGAAATTGTTATATATGTTAATGAGATATTTTCCAATATGAAATGGTTTTTCTTGCATGTCCCTGCAGTTGCAATCACTTAAAACACTTGGGTTGTTGGAGATCAAGAAGCAAGAGTTACAGGAATCATGGGTCAGTTATATTGGCTTATAATCTTATCTAATGCTTCTTTTTAATCAAATCAGTCATCATGGAATTTTCTATTCCACCTTTTTCCTTTCACCTTCTGCACTTGTTAAACAACTTTGCGTAGAGTTCTCAAGTGTTTTATTTTATTTTTTAGAGTGCATGGTTATTTGTTATTTAGACATTACTTAGTGCAATGGTAAGAACTTGGCTAAGAAGTGTGAGAAAAGTTTAAGAATCACTACTTTGTTTAAATAATACCTACCTTCAGTCAACTTCTTGCGGCACCCTCCAGCAACAAGGGTTACATTGAGTAATAGCCTACTTTTATTATTATTGTTTACAGCTATTGCTGGCCCCTTTCTGTATCTTATGTGTAGATTTCTTCGGTCTTTTGTTTTAGATGTTATACCCATGGTTCGCCTACTCTGCTGAGTCAGCACGACTCTACCAAGTCATAACGGAATCAGTCCCTACTGAATTCCAGGTAGGCTGATTTATCAGGGAGAATGCTAAATTGCTTGTGATTCGGCTTGAATCAGCCCGGAATCGCCAAGAATCAGTGGAATTGGTGGTCACTCACCCGAGTCAGCGGTGAACTTTAAAAGATTTTTTGGCCATTTTCTTACCTCTTTTCTCACTCTAGCAGCACACTCTCTCTCTAAAACTCATACCCAATTTAAAGTTGAGATTCAAAACATCAAATTTAACAGGATCTAGTCTTGGATAACCCTGCACAAGAGAGAGAGAGATGAGGGCTGTGGGACGACATTGGATGGCGTCAAGCATGTCGCTGGGATCTGTTTTGAAGCTGGTTCTAGAGAGATAAGAGAGAGAGGGCTGGCTGTTGGTTTTAGCAAGATGCTACAACCCTAAGGTCGAAATCTTTTTTTTGGAAGGTAACCAATACCAAAGTGATTATATAGTACTTTCTAGGGACATGAGCTGGGTTCAGAAAAACTTAACTAGAGCTGCTTATAGTGTTTGAGAACAGGTTTCATATATGTGTATATATTTGTATATTATTTTTTTTTTATGAGGAAAGAAATGATCCTTTTTTTGCTAAGTAATTTAGTAACATGTCTGAATCATTAGGCCTTTACGCCAATGATTTCAAACTTCATAAATAAGCCATTACTTATACTAAAACACCTTTAAAAATTCAAAATAATCGTTAAAATGCATTAAAAGTCCATATTTATTTGATTTTATAGTAGAAATTAGCGTATCAGGTTCTGTGAGAGGTTGGGAAAAAATTTCAAGACCGTGGGGCCGCCGGGGGGGGGGGGGGGGGGGGAGGGGATTGCAAATGATGGTTATACCAGTGTCAACATTCTCACTTATGTTGAAAAGCTTTAGTCTTTCTAAAGTAATCTCCACTTACTATTTGAGAGAATTTTTGAGCTCAAATTTATGGGCTCTGTGCACCATTTGAAATTTAGATTTTTCCAACTTTTATGGGTTGTAATGCTTGAATATGTTTTGAAAATTGATCCTTTGAATGAAACTTACATTTCGTCATCACCAAAATGAATATTAAAAATTTAGAGAACATCATGACCTGCTTCCTCAGATCACATCTGGATTTAACTGAGTTTCTTCCCTTTCCATTGTCTCAATTCACAAGTGTGTAGCCACGGGCAGTTACATCCTTTAAGCACCAAATTGAGACACATTGTGACCTCAATTTAGCTATTACATTTTCCAACTAAGATCCTGTTTTCTGGCCTGTTTACTTTTGGATGATATATATATTTTTTAATGTATAGTTTTTATTATCATTGTTTTCATCGATAAAAAGAATCCTTGTGTATCATGTGAAAATACTCATAAGTTTGCAATTAGCTAAATTTTTTAATCCTTCTTTTGTAAACCAGAAGGATCATCCAAGTGGTCCCGAGGCCGAAAATGCTTTTCATCAATGCATTTCTGCTTTCAAAGAGGTACATGCAATTTGATTTTTGACACTTCATCACCTGTCTTTAGTTTTTATTCCGTGTTCTGTTGAAATTTCCACGAAACTATGGATGATACTGGCTAGTTAAGTCACGGTCTTTTGCAGTTGTGGAAATTTTCATGTTTGCTTATTTACATTTTATTACTTGTTTGGTGCTATTTTGTGTTCTTTTATTTTTATAATAATTTTGGTTTGGTAAGGCGTTAAAAAAAAGGAAAAAAGAAAGGGAGGGGGGTGGAAGTAGAAAAGAAAAACATTAATGATATGCACTTACATTCCGCGGTTTTTCGTTCTCGAATTTTAGAATCCGAGAAGTTGGTGATATTTATTATTTTATTTTATTTTGCATGTCTTTGATTAAATCACTTTCCAATTTCTGAAAAGTAATCCAAATGTTTTTTTTTTCCACTGCTTTCTTTCATTCTCCCCATTTATCTAGTATGCCCTTCTTTCATGTCTACTTTTTGCTTCATTTCTAAATTTATTTTGCTTGGCAGTTATACTAAACATGTATTATATGGCACATTTTCAGTCAGCAAGTTAAAATTTATTTTTAACTTCATTTTTATTAGCAGTTAAATATATATATTTTTTTGATAAGTAAAATTTTATAAAAGAGGGCTCAAAAGGGGAGCAAATTCCAAAGAAAAACACAAGGCCAAAAAACGCCTCAAACCTTCAAAGAGGCAAAAAAAACAACAATCTCCTCTATAGATCTATACTCTCTCCCTGAAACCCAACAAAAGAGAGTGGAAATAATAAAGAACTTAAGCATAAAAATAGGCTTCTCCTTTCCATCAAAATATCTCCGATTTCCGTCAAGCCAAATGCACCACCAAACACAAAGAGGCGTAACCCTCCAAGCATCCCGAACAAGAGCCCCAACTGAAAAACCTCTCCAAGCCTCAATCAACCCTCTAAAAGATTGAGGCATTACCCAGGGATTCCCAAATAACCCAAGCATCAAATCCCAACAATCCATAGCCATACTGCAATGCAAAAGAAGGTGATCCACTGTCTCTTCATCCCGCAAGCACAAGTAACAGCGATTAACCACCACCTGATTCCTCTTTCTCAAATTATCTTGGGTTAAAATCCTACCCAAGGCAGAAGTCCAGGCAAAGAACGCCACCTTGAGAGGAGCCTTGGAGCGCTAAACAGACTTTCAAGGGAAATGGCCTCCAGACCCAGCCGTGAGACACCTAAAGAAAGACCGAACCTGACGATACAACAACGAGTACAACAACAATTAGAATCCCCAACCACAATCACCTGACGGTACAACAACTCCAAAAAACGAGTGACCTCCTCAATCTCCCAGTCCTGAAAGTGCCTCCTGAACTGAACATCCCAAGACAATCTCCCATTATCAAGATGATAGCAGTTAATCACCATGGCCTGCCTATCAGAAGCAATCCTGTAAAGCCGTGGGAAAGCAAGAGCAAGAGGAAGCTCCCCACACCAATGATCCTCCCAAAACCTAATCCTCCTACCATCCCTGATCCGAAACGAACATGTTTGGAAAACTCATCCCAACCTTTCCGAATGATCCTCCAGACCCCGACCCCGACCCCCCTGGGACCACTCATCTCCAGAGAGCTCCACCCACCGCAACTCTCCCCAAATCTACTCGCAACAATCCTCCTCCACAACCAATGCCTTTCCACCCCAAACCTCCATAACCATTTTCCAAGAAGGGCTTTATTGAAGGGTACCAACCTCCTAATCCCTAAACCTCCACTCCGGACTGGACTACAAACCTGCTCCCATTGAACCAAATGAAACTTGAACTCCTCCCCCCCCCCCACCCCAAAGAGAAAATTACGCTGCAACCTCTCAATTCTTTCAGCCACAGAAACAAGAATCTGAAAGAGAGATGAAACAAGTGGGAAGGCATGAAAGGGTGCTCTTAATCAAAGTGACTCCCCCACCCCCCCGGGAAAGGTATTGCTTCTTCCAACCCGCCAGCCTCTTCTCAAATCTATCCACAACCGGATCCCAGCTCCCAACACACCTCGAAGGAACACCCAGAAGCAAACCTAAATAAGAGATAGGAGAAGAGCCAGTGTGACATCCAAGAATCTAAGCAAACATCTTAATCTCTGGGACCTCCCCAACCGGCACCGGCACATTCTTACCAACATTCACCTTAAGGCCAGAGACAACTTGGAACCAAATCAAAACACATTTCAAATACCTTAGCTGTGACGCATTCGCATCACAAAGCACTAAAGTATCATCAACAAACATCAAATGGGAGATCTCCAACTGACTAGCAGCATCCCTCCCCATTCTGAAACCTCTCAAAAAACCCAACTTAATAGCCCTCTTCATCAATCTACTTAGAGCCTCCATCACCAACAGGAACAAGAAAGGAGACAGTGGATCCCCTTGTCTTAATCCCCTCGAACTAGAGAAGAATTCCGTTGGAGCTCCATTCACAAGGACCGAGAAGCGAGCACTAGAAATACAAAAGAGAATCCATCTCCTCCACCGCACACCAAACCCCATCCTCTCCATCAAGTAGAGGAGGAAGTTCCAGCTAACATGGTCGTACGCCTTCTCAATGTCTAACTTGCACAACACACCCGGAACCCTACTGCTCAATCTGGAATCCACACACTCACTAGCAATGAGAACTGAATCCAGAATCTGACGACCTCCCACAAAAGCATTCTTGGAGTCAGAAATCACGTCGACCAAAACCTTCCTCAACCTAGAAGCCAGGACTTTCGCAATCAAATTGTAAATACACCCCACTAAACTAATAGGGAGAAAATCTCTAATATCCAGCGCCCCTCCCTTTTTTGGAATGAGAGCAATGAAAGTGGCGTTCAAGCTCTTCTCAAAAGAGCCCCCAATATGGAAAGCATGAAAAGTGCCCATCACCTCTTTTCGAACCACCTCCCAACACTCCAAAATGAATCTCATGGAAAAACCATCTAGACCTGGGGCTTTATCCCCGTTACAACTCCTCAAAGCAATCAAGACTTCTTCTTCAGAAAAGGGCTCTTCCAGGATAGAGCACTCCTCACTCGAGATAGCATTAAATGAAGCCCTGCAAGCAAGGGTCTCCATCCAGCAGATTCTGTAAACAATATCGAATAGAAGTCAGCAATACCCTTGCAAATATCCTCATCCTTACACAACACTTCCCCATCCACCCGGATCCTCCCAATGTGATTGCCCCTTCTATGAGCATTGGCAAGCCTATGAAAAAACTTCGTGTTATTATCGCCCTCCTTGAGCCACAGAGCTCTAGACTTTTGCCTCCACAAGATCTCCTCCATGACAGCAATTTCAACGAACTCCGCTTGACACTCCACCTTCTTATCTCTCGAGGAATCCGTCAAGTTGCCTTCGCTCTCCATTCGATCAATCTCAACAATTTAGAAAGGACCCGATTCTTCCTCCAAATTAGATTACCGAAGACTATTTGTTCCAAACTTTTAAATCATTCTTCAAGAGGTGCAACTTACCTGTAAGAGAATGACGTGGGGTGCCAACCAGTCCATACCCCTCCTACCAGGATTGAACTCTCTCCAGAAAACCCTTCACCCGAAGCCACATATTCTCAAATCTGAAAGGGGAACTTCGACTACGCATCCCACCACAATCCAACATCAATGGAACATGATCAGAAACAGGGCGAGCCAAAGTGGCCTGGACAACATCAGAAAACTTTTCCTCCCAATCACTCGAAACAAGGAATTTGTTAAGTCGAAAAAGAGTAGGAGGAGAGCAGCCACTAGACTAAGTGAAAGGACCACCCACCAAAGGCAAGTCAAACAAACCATAGGCATCAATGAACTCTGAAAAAGACTCCATGTCTGTCGTCCACCTACCCCCTATCGATTTCTCAAAAGGAGACCGAACAACATTGAAATCCTCTCCAATACACCAAGGCAAAGACCATCTCCTTTGAACCTCTCCCAGCTCACCCCAAAGCAGATGGCTCATATTATCCTCTGTAGGACCATAGACACCAGAAAAAACCCAAGGAAATCCATCTTCCACCAAGGAAAGAACACATGAAGCAGAGAAAACCCCAACCTGAGACTCAACCAAAGAAACCCATCGGTTTTCCCACATAATATAAGAATATCACCTGAGGTTCCAATCGCATCCAACGCAATCCACTCCACAAATCTTCCCCCCCCCCCCCCCCCCTCTTAAAACTTCTAACAATTGAGCCCGTCATCGATGCAATCTTGGTTTCCTGCAAACACACAACATGCCCACCACTTTTGCGAATAGCCAACTTCACAACTTTTCTCCTAACCGAGTTGTTGAGACCCCGGAGATTCCATGAAAGAATTCGAAGCTTGATAGGGAAACAAATGAGTTTGCAGTCTCTCTCTTCCTCCCACTGTCCCTCTCCTTGGACCCCCTGCTCCTCCTTTCATACGTGACATAAGCCGTGGGACTCTGCACCCCCCTTCCATTTACCCCAACCTGAACACAACCTCCACAACCCTTGCTTCCCAACCTTTCAATCTGCTGAGAATTAAGAACATCAAGGAACATATTTGTCGCCTCCTCCATCCTGCCCTCAAAAGAAACACCCAAAAGAGACCCCACCTCGACTCCCTTTCTCCTCTCATAATCATCCTCCACATCATCCACACCTTCAGAAGAACTAGCCCTATCCTCAAACTCCCCTTCCGGCCTCACAACAGCCAAAGGAACAGCAAAATCAAAATCAGAATCTCCTCCATTCCACTGAATCAACCCCGGCCCCCCATTGAAAGAGGACCCCGAAAAACCCTCCCCATCCCCAATGACAGAGGAAGGTGAGCAACAGTCCAACGGAGTCCCAAACTCCTCATCAGATAAAGAACCTCTTGGCTCACTCTGAAAGCGTTTTGAGGCCAAATGAGCCCGTAATTCATTCAACAAAACAGAAGTAGAAGAATCATCAAGACTAATCCGCACATCCTGCCCCACACAAACAGTGACCCTCTCACCCTTCCGATCAATAGACCG